CGTCGAAAGGTTCTAACATTCGTTAAATTATGTTTGAGATTTTATACCTAGTAGACACTTTTAATGGCCATTGTCCCATCCGAGCCTGGTTACATAAATTGGGTTATTTTATAGCTATCTAGGACCTTTTTCGTTTTGAAATGTTTTACTTAATGACAAGCAGTTTAGGATAAGAACCAACCTAAAGTTATCTTATCAACGAAAATTATAAGCATTCGTCAAGATGTTTGAGATTAGCAAACGGATCCACGTCTGCCAAAGTCAAAAATGCTCAGCTCTGGCAGAGGGTGAAATATAAGGACACCTTTAGGGGGGTAATGCAATGGGCGAGAACAAGCGGGATGATACAAGGTGGTTACAGGGGATGGTAATTAACTCCCGCAGCAGACGCACTAGACGTCGAAGGGTGGCCTACCTGCGGCCACCTCACATTGATGTCCTGCGGTCGGGGTGACAGGGCCCGCCTGCGACGGGCCAATACCCGTCGGGGGATGCAACGAATGCTTCGGCAATACCCGCCCCTCCGACACATGGGTAAATGGAAGAACACCGGGTAGGTTTTTAGTCGTTATATTATTGTCAAACAAGCGGCGCATGGTGGCGGCACAGGCCCATGAACATTCGCAACAACGGAGGAGTTACGAGTGCGTTGCCGACCTTTTGGCGATTAGGGATTTCGAGATTTTGGTATCGCGGATGGATTGGGGGAGGGAAAACATTGGGCCTCCGGTGAAGTTATCCTTTCCTCGAAATATGTTAACATAAGTAGGTACGTTAGACTATGTTAAAAAATTTGTTAATGGATCCACTTCTGCCAAGGTAAATCCTACCCCTATTCCCAAATCATAAACGTAGCTTTTGCATGGATTCGGCAGCTGGAACTCGAGGTGCGCTCCACAATTCCGAACCCTGTGTGCTTTCGTACGGGTCCCAAATAACGGCAGTAGGGGTTACCATCAGCATTGAGTCGGCGACAGCCGATGGAACTTCGGAGAGCATTTTAAATATGATTTTAAATGTTTGACTCCTAAATAGGAACAGACCGTTACTGCGATCAAGCGGCTCCTGCCTAACCTTGGGCAAACGACTCCTGCCGAAGTTTTTATATGGAAAACGTGCGATCTATGGCCTTCTATGGGGCCTCTGTGGGCGCTGGACTTGAGGCGGCAGACAGGTCGTCCACTGATCCCGTCCCATAGGGTCATGTCCATACTTATGATCCGCGGCTAGCGCACGCGAGAACGAGCGACAATCTCCGGTCCGCGCCAACGGTTGGCGCGGATCTGGGGACCCGAGCGTGCCGGGCCTAAATAACTCCTCTCTCTCTTTATAATTAGGGCAGTGAATGGTTGTCTCAAAAGAAAGTAGGTTTGAAGGTGTTGTAACCTGTTTGGTTTGGAGAATAAAACATAAAAGCATTTTTCATATATGTATTAAAAATAAAATAACGTATTATCAAAAAATATATTTAAAAATATTCTCCTTATACAAACCAATCACTAAGATAAAATATAATTTCGATGTTTATGCTACTGCCCATTATGCCGTTTTTAGGAACCTTCGCAGAAACGTTCTTTTCCGTAGTTTATTCGTCGAGAAATAGTACTACAACAAAACTACATATTTATTAATAAAAAAACATGTTCTGTGGATCGCCAACATACTGTACCTATAGAGATGCTAATAAATCGAATGTTATGGTAACTAATAACGGCGTAATGGGTGAAAACATGTCTGCTGGTAGTTACATAAGAATTTTAAACATTGCATTGTCATTCATCAAAAATTATGCTGAGATTGATTGATATCATTCATTACATTAAAAAATAGCATACTATTTATAAAATACGAGTTGAGCATTATAGTATAAGGTTCCGTAGTTCCAATAGGTTTATTATTATTGGAATTAGATTCAAAAGAAATGTCCTAGAGATCACTTTTGAGCAGAATAAAATTGACTTAATTATAATAAGAAAGCACCTTTGTATTATAATAAAAATACTAGGCGGACTTTTGACACGACGTTTGTTATTTACGTATACTTTTGGTACGGTCCTACGGAACACAACATGAAATATTATACAAACAATAATTGGGCGGCAAATTTTGATTAACCTTCCTATGCAGTGGTGTAAAAATGATACTACAATAATTTTCATAAACAAAAATTTGAAACTAACCACTGCAACTGAGGCTAAAGTCGAATTCATGATGGTATTCTTTGTACAAAGAATATATTTGTTGTCTAAAACTCCGACAACTTTATACATTACATTCTAATAAAATAAATTATTTACATTAATCATCGTTGTTCGTGTTTTTGTTCTACATTTCATTTTCCTACGAGTGGCACTGAAAGAATGCATCTTTATTTTCTATCACAATTAATTCATCATACAAAACATCATCAATTGTTCACTAACCTAGAGTATTTAAACTGGATTCAGCATAAATTCGTCGTAGGTAAAATTAACAATATTGTGCGTTATTGGTTAAACAATAAAGACTAATGCCGTCTCCAGTTAAGATACTCCAAACGCCGTACTCATTCATATAATGGTTATTTTAATCAGTTCTAATAAATTGCTTTCGGAACAAAATCCATGCTAAGGGTCTTTTTGATGTGATAGGTCGGTAAACGAGCAGACGGATTACTTGATGGTAAGCAATCGGCAACAAAGAAGTTACGAGTGCCTTTGGGGATTAGGGTTTCGGAGATTAAGGGTTTGGGCAGGGAAGGGATGTGGGGAGGGGAAGAATTGGGCCTCCGGTAACCTCAATCACACGACGAATCACAACTATGGGATCTAATTAAATGTCTGAGCACGGTATGTTTTAAAATTCCTATCAACTACAACTGGTTACAATTTAAAGTTCGACGTGGATATCATATCTACGTATTAATTTATAGTTGTCGGTAAACAAACATATAAAAACTACGTCTTAACATTTAAGCACCATTACATTATTTAGTTCATAATTAAAAATATATTTATGTTTAACAAGAGATCTATCATGGACTTATTTAAACATAATTACAATTAAAATATTGAGAGTAATTTGACTTTACTGAGAGGTGGAACAAAATGGCTGACAAAACTGTTCTACACTCTCGGAAATCATATTTTAGTTTGGAATTTATATGGGCATTAAAATAAATTCCAACTAAATGTAATAATATGTACTAGCACAATATTAACTAATTACTTCTGAATCCTTCAATCGGATCCCAATCTCCTTTACTGATTAAATTTAATAATTCATTAAGCCGAAAAATGGCACATTACATGTAAACTATGATTCTCACTGAAGAACGTACCGAATTAATTTAATTTCGCTAATTGACTAAATTATATAATTCTTTTTGTTATTTTAAACAAAATCATTTTCGAAATTAACCAGTGCACAATACATAAAAGCACTGGCATTCATAAGATAAATATTGATTCCAATAAAAAAAAAAAAATCAAATTTGTTCTATATCGTCCAGTTGCTTATTAATTGTATTAACTAATCCAAAATAATTTCAATTTATAATTTCAACTAATGAGGAGATTCGCCCAATACGAATAAATTATTCCATAGTACTGGTGGGATTAAGAGTAACAATATACCTTAAAAATCTATTTAATGTACTAATGTACTGTACTAGAATAACAGTTCGTTCATGATTGTAACGACTTACGTGAAGCAATGTTCATGACGAAGAATTTTATAGAAAATGCACTTAGACTAGCATGGAGAAATAAGGGAAAAATATTTGTAATCAACTTGTCATTTAGGCTCAAAATCAAATGGCATTCGAATGACTATAAAGTATAGGTATCACAACTCATTACCAAATGCTACTACATATTGAGTGGGTACTTAAAAATATGTGTAATTAATAAGAATCTCAAAATGCTGAATAGAACACATTAATTCAAAGACTGGTCACTATGTCTGACAAAGATAATGTTGCTGTATACAGTTCACACGATTTTTTTAAATAAAGAAACTTTTTCCCAGTCTACAATTACCTCCTGTGTCGTAGTTGCGTTTACAAGCATACAATTTCACATACACAACCTACACAAGGACCAACACTTTGTGTGATCCACAAATTGTTGTCTCTCGTCTGGGTGGCTTGTGTATGTGAGTTTGTATGTTTGTAAACGCAACCACGACACGAGAAAATGCTAGTACGGGATAACGTTTTTTTTTAAATACACTTAGCCCATTTTGTATGGAAAATTTATATACAAACAGTGCGCCAGTTACCACGAAACTCGAAACAATAGTAGGGTTATTGAACTCAGTCTATCGTTTAATTTACGTTACGATTTAATCTCATATTGCATTGCACCTAGTATAAGGAACGAGTTTGGCATTGCATTTCATTTATTATAAATAATAATCTCATTAAAATGAATCCTGTATTATTATTATTCTGCTTGATGGAATCGGATCATTAAAGATCGTGAAAATCGGTCCAGCCGTTTTTTAGTTTTAAGTTGTATTGAACACAACTTTGTTTTACGTACACGGACTATTTCTATTTCAAGTTTATTTGACAACCTGCATTTTGAGCACCATTTTTTTTAATCAAACAACCACCTTAAAGAGTTTAGTAGGAATTAGTTTACACTATTTAAAAATAAATGCATTGAAAGGCAGTGTATAGTGTCCCTAAGATATTTCATTGAGCAGATCATTAATGATGTATTAAGTATTTGTTATGCAAAAGTAATCATTATTCTTAAAGGCATATGGTAGCTATTTGTTCACTTAAAATATAATAAGATCTATTTCTTCATAAGATTTACGCGTACATAAAGATCGTAATAGCACAATATTCATAAAAGTCGGTCATGAACAACAGACGCATGCAGGACAACTTATTTCAATCTATCAAACGATTTTCGACTTTATTCTACATACCTAACGTCTTATTATAATTATAGGCATATCATATCTTCAAGGATATTATAGGCATATCATATCTTCAAAGATAAGGATATCATGACTTCAAGGGTTGTCACAAGTCACTGGTCGAACATTACAGATGCCGTGTTTCTATTGGCACAGAGAATAAGACTAACTACTGCAAAGACGTCGTTGTTTACTCAACTTTATTTCTTTAGAATAAAGTTAAAATTCATTTGACAAATTGAAGTAGACAAAGGTCTGTATAAAGCATAATGATCATTGCTTCACGTAATATTAGAGTAACATATAAATTGTACGCTATGTTTTGTTTGAGCGCATAACATTCATAATATGGATATGTCCGGGGTTATCGACTGTGACGAAACATGAGAATTTTTCGTCATGACTTAGTCTTTTCGCGTGCATACCTGATAGCTTGACGCACGCTAAGATTTCTTTTCTTTTTGAACCTCGTTTGCACCTGTAATGAAAAGGAATGAATTTGTAAAAACAATATGTTTGAATCAAAAATGTTACAAACTATATTTTTTTCTTTTAAATAAAATCAAATGATGTTCGTAAGTCTCGCTAAAACTCTAAAAGATCTGGACTGACTTAATTAACGTTGGTTTTAAATTATTCGTGACAGTTTAGGAAAGGTTTAAAAGTAACGTTACTAAACTAACTAACAAAGTTAACGTTATTTGACTCTTTGAAGCGATACGGAGTTTGCCGGGGCAACTAGCGCCCTACAATAATGGGCTTCTTCTTCTTTAAGTATTTGATTGCCGACAAAAACTGTTAAAGGCTAACCCTCCACTAGCGTCGGACACCATTGTCCGACATGGCGTCCTAAGTGTTAAACTTTTCATCACTCTAGTTGTTATCATGTTTATGATTATGAATAAGTCCTATTGTTGCTCGAAACTAGTCGAGGTACTCCGTTAAACATTTACGTGGGCAACAATTTAACATAATTTATGTAAAAATTTGTAAAACATGTTATAGTTCGTGTATATGTCACCGGAAAATAACAAGATCCGTAAGTTTATCAATTTACTAGGAAGTTTATAAACTTTCGTAAGATTCTAAACGGGAGATAAATTGTAATATTTTACGTCCACATTTTCGTAAATTTATCAATTTCCGACGTCATACGGTAAATGTATAAACTAACGAATACCTATTCGTAAGATTTTATATGGTTCTACCAATCACAGAAACGCTTTTAAATATACGATCTTTGAAATACGTAAAATAACACACTGCTCTCTGATTGGTCAACGTTCATAGTGGCAATGCTTGTGTCCATAGAAGTGACACGTGACAGCCAACCAATCAGATCGCGCGTAGCGTTTGGTTACTGCTTACTTATTATTTTACGAATGAGTTCAGTGTGCCTAGCACGAACATTATCGAGAAAGTATTCGTATCGAGATCGAAAGCATTTTCTATGGGATTTTTACAGCGCCCCTACCGTGCGTAAAAGGAACTAAAAATCGCAAGCACGAATGATTTTGACAACTATCGTATAGTAATCGTATCGTGTTGCTATCGAAACTTAGAACATTTTGACACAAATTGGAAGCACGAACGATCTTTTGACGTATAGTAACGTAAGTTTCGAAGGCTGGCTATCGAAAACTGTCGAAACATTTGTCACTAAGAATTTGACGGTGAGAAAGGTTTCGAAATATTTCAATCGTGTTTTAAATAATATATTATAAAGTTTGTGAGTATTCTTTACGAGTATAACATCATGCAAAGACCGCCGCTGTACGAACCAAGTTGGAGAAATAGTTTATTTGCGGCTATTTTACTTGGAGATGAAGAGTCAAGAGAAACTTCGTAAGTACCAAGTACCTACCTATTCAAGTTATGTTTCACTTAATATAGACATATGTATTCAAGAAAATAATACGAATTAAATGATTATTCTAGAGAAATCGTGTGCCGAGCTAAATTCAGAAAGATATCTAATCCAATGGATATCACTGAAACGTAGTTTAGAAATACTAGGTACCGCCTAAATAAAGAAGCTTTCAAGTACTTCTGTGAGCAACTCCAACAAAAACTAACCTTATAATGCTAAAATGAAATCAATAGGAGTCGAGCAGCGGGTGAAACCGCGAGGAAGTAGCTAGTATAAATTAGGTTTCCTAATAAATATTTTTTTACAGGTGATTCTGGCTACCCACAGCGACCATGGCTAATGACGCCTACTCATTTTGGATGCGGTAGAGGGAACTCCGGGCCACAATATACTGCAGTAAAAGAAAGAAGAGGCGATGCTTGTGCAAAGACCGCACTCTGCATTATGCTCCCGAAAAATGTGTTTGACAACGGCTTGTTGCATAATTTGGTCATAAATTTTAATGTTCCTGAGCCACAGGTAGATACAACAACAGCTGAACATCAAGACTTGTCTCATACCTCATCTTCTGATAAGAGACATGAAAATGATAGAAGCGATGATTTGATAAGTGAAAGGGCTTTAAGTAATATTCTGGTACAGCAAATAAATATACTACACAGATGACCCAAGTGTTTTATTATTATACATTTCCAAAACATCTTACACACTAATCTAACTTAAAAACTATTCTTACCTATGTTTTTATAATAGGTAACTATAGTGAGACATTTTAAATTCAATTCTAACATAATCTTTCCTCATTCCAAAATGTAGTAATTTAAAATAAAATATGTAAATATACATTAATCATCTTTTTAACTAGATTATATTTTAATACATTTATTGCCTCTCTCATAAGTTCCAGCCACTGAGCCTGTAAAAGGAGCTCTGCATCTCTCTGTCTTACTCTTCATTCTTCTCGTCGTAATTCCAAACGCTCTTGTTCCATTATATCATATGTTTCCTCACGCTCCCTAGCAAACTCCCTAGGTTTCTTATCATTCTCTAAACACAATTTGATTAAACTCTCTTTAGATTTTTTTTTCGGTCGAGGCTTCCAGCATTCCTTTTCTAATGGAGGATTGGCGACTGGTGGTGTCGGTGAACGGCTGGCTTCATGGGTACTGCGGAGTGGTCGGAACACTGAAGGCTCGCTGCTTGTCACTGGCATATTCCATGAAATCCACCATTAATTCGTATTGGAGCCGAGTCCTCCTCATTTTAAAATAAATTTAAACCAACCGCATAATAAGATAGCCGCATAATTATCTACATTCTTTGTTTTGTTTGTTAAAAAAAAATACGTCAATAGCCGTCAAACGTCACCTTTGTCAAAAGAACGTTCGGAAATCGTAAATTATGTTACAAAATTTAAATAACCAAATCATATTTTTTTCATAGATAAAGTCATTTTATATACTTCTTGACTCGTTTTAAGAATTATTTCACGTAATTAATATTTTTTCATTTAAATATAATACCATAAAAGGTGTAGACGAAGGTTGAAATATGTTTAAAATTAATTTTAGTTTTCAGACGAAATCTTTATGTTAAATTATGTTCAAGAATTCATTCAATTCGTTCACTTGGGTGCTTCTCTAGCTTACATTAGCATGACGTCACTAACGAATTCGATTCGAGCTCTCGCTAGACGATACGATAGGCTTCGTGCTGCGACATTCCGTTTCCGTCACATGAAGTATCGACGTCTCGATACGTTAACGTTACGATTACGATAGTCATTCGTGCTAGGCACTCAGTAAGTTTATCAATTTACGAAAATGTGGACGTAAAATATTACAATTTACCTCCCGTTTAGAATCTTACGAAAGTTTATGAACTTCCTAGTAAATTAATAAACTTACGGATCTTGTTATTTTCCGGTGACATTTATACCAAATGTTTTTTTATACAATGATATTGTGTATATCTCATTATAGGTTTATATACAGTATTTAAATTATTTAATTACGTCATCTGCTACTCTCGTTTCTCCATCACAAAGAACTAAGATCGACTGTTAGACAATGCCTGAGGCATTTAGCCCACCTACACATGTTATATTTTTTTTTATAATAACAAAATACTCACGATTTCCCTTTCCAAATAACCTTCCAGCACTGTTGGGGTAAAAAGTCTCCGTCTCCAAAGAAATAGTTGCACTTGGAAGTGTTGCCTGAATTGATCGAGTTAGAGTGATTCAAACTAGCATTTGGTGTCTCATTCCTGCTTTCTAACGGACTGCCTAATGGTGTCATCACGTTGTAGCTTCTGAAACGTATTTGTAGTGTATTAGTATTTATTTCATTATTTTTCAATGTTCTAAAGCCAAGAGAATTAATTGAATATAAGATAAGATACTTTATTTCGCAAATATGGTACACTACAAGGTGTAAAAATATTTATTAGGTTCGGTTAGGTTATATAAATCGATACAGCATTTTCAAAAATCTAAATTTCTAACGCACAAAATATGCTACTGTATTTCACAAGATATAGGTAAACAGTTTCATGTAATATATTAGAAAAAAATTAAATTAAATCAAATTCAATACATATTGATATATCACTTCAAATATATAAATAGCTGTTTAAAATTTAGCTAATAAAAATCGAATTTAAAGTATTGTAAAATAATTGAATTTATTTAAATAATATATTTTCGACCGAACTTAAATACAAAAATTTCCGTAAGTCAATTTCTAAATCCTTTTTCAGTCAGATTTGTTTGCGACTGCTGAGTTCGAATATTTTAATTTCCTGTTAAAACCTTAAAAACACACAACCAACCTCTTCCCAATCTTATACTTGGACGCCTTCATAACATGCGTGATATTCCACCAAACAATCTCCGTTGCCATGGTAACCAGTACTAATGGCGGTTGTTCACTGTCCCCGTCATCATCCTGTGAGGTCGACAAGTGGTACGGCGATTGTATAGGATGCGGTGATGACGTCATCGAATTGCGGTTTGAACGTTCAGGGACGGGTGAGAATGAACAAGAATGAACTTTGGACTTGTGATGCTTTAGCAGGCCTAGTTGACGTCGACCTCGGACGTTCCATACCTGGAATTTGTTAATAAATAATTAGGTCAAACCGACTTAAATACAAATTGAATCACACAAAATAAACGTAAGGACATTCCAGCAGTGTGAGTTTTGTAATTGTTACGACAAGGTTTGTGTAATAGAAAAACTTGATACATTTGGGGAGAACAAATGCCAAAATGATAAACACTGGCATCAAATTTATAATAATTAACTATGGGAAGATTACATAATATTCTCACATAAATATTTAAGAGTCAGAGAAGCACACATGTAATTCCATCCACATTTGACCAGTTATATTTCATAGAAGGATATTTATTAGTGGACAATGTAAGGAATTCTTAATAATATATAGAGAAGGCCTTCTTGTAAAGTAGGTACACCTACCATTGTCTATTGATTAAATATTCTATAGAAATATGCAACAACTTACCACAACATTCCCAGAGTCCAGCCCAAGCGCTAGAATATTCCCGTCCGAAGTGAGGTCGCACGACACAATTACATTGTTCAGTCTGTACTCTTCGATAGTCTGTAGTTCCACCCCATCATTCATTTTGAGTTCAAATGTCTGGAAGATGGAACAATATTAATAATGAAGAAATGGCTAATAATATTAATAATTTGTAAATGTTAGAGGTGTGACGAAAATGAACTTTTAATTCAATATGATTATGATGTTGGAAGTTGAATCTAGAGAGAAATTTAATATGAGTATCATAGTATAGACCCTAAAATATCTCTAGCTTGCTTCTGCTGCTTGTTGTATATTTGTATATGTGTATATTATTATCTAGAATAATTATTGTTGAATATGTAAAGCATCATAATATTTAGCAGATCCAGAAATGTAACTTTGAAACAACCTTATATATTATTATAGTTTAGGACATATTGTACGAAATTAAGCTAATGTAAAACCTTTATGGTAACAAATCCATAGACAGATATTAGAAAGTAAATCTACCTGAAACGTTGTATTCTTCCTATCACAAATGACGAGGATATTATTTTGTAAAGCGGCCGAAGTTATGTATACATCAGACTGTCTTCCATTCAGTATTGTCTGAAGATTTAAATTCTTTCCCCATAACTTGATGGTAGCATTGAATTCCACTGTGACGATGCCCAGGTCCTTTACCCAGAAACAGTCAACTAGTCCGCTGCCCTTACAAAGGCTTTTGTACTCTTCACATCGGAAGGTCCGTCCTCGAGAACTAATGCTTGTTTCACTGCTTGAACTCGACAGTCTTTCTGAGTGACCATTCTTTTTGGGAAAACCTAAAAAAAAAAACACAATTTATAGGGTTACTAGCTCTGGCGTATAGTTTTAAACGGGACTCAACTCTTCAACACAAAAAAATCTAATCAGAAGTCCTAAGATTAGGGAAACCTGTAAACTGTTTAGCTTTACCTATAATATTTTAGTAACTATAGATTATCAGAATCATTATTCCTTATTTTATTCCATATCCTTTAATGCTGGATTAAAAAAATGATAGCTTAACTAAATTCAAGTCATTGGAGAAGTCTATGTTTAGCACTTTTTTTTTGTTCTTGTGGAATATTTTAAGAGTTATATTAAATCAAATTCACCTAGCAACCTTTTTACGCAAAATAACGAACCTCTGTCCACAGTTTAAAAAAAACACATTTTTTTTAACCATCGCCAAATGAAGAAGTGATTAAATATAGATAGTTTAACTCAGATATTTTTTTTTATAATGGTCAGGATTTTGACCGCTGTCACGCCTGGCATCCAGCGATGTTGCGACCCACGTTGGAGGACCCCTAAGCAACCTTTTAACTTCGGGGCGAAGACAGACTTCGGCAAAGAATTCCACTCTTTGGCGGTTCTGATATACAAACTGGTGTCGAACCGAATTTATTAAGTATTTGAGTAATTTTATTGTCGGTTGCCTAGCCAGCACCTCAACTGTGAATTCGAGTGTACTCTTTTCTTCACTCTATGAAATATATATATATATACAACAAAAAACAACTCACCCTGAATATCATTAAGTATTTCTTGGGAACCAAGATTGGTGTTTCCTCTCTGCATCATTTCAGGTTTCCAATCACCAGCGGGCGTCAGTTTGTAGGCCATTAAACAAGTATTCTTTCCAGCGACGATTAGTAAATTCGGATTAACGAAGTTTAAATATTGCACTGGGCTATAAACATCCATTATAGGTACAGTTTCCTTCGTCCGAATTGTGTATTTCTTTACTATACCGGATTTTAATCCGTAAATAATGTATAGATTGCAAGGAGAGATTTTCACTCTTGTAATGCAATCTGATCTGTCTGATTGCTCTGAGATTTCCGTTAGTACTTTTCTTCCGCGCATTACCTAAAATGGGTGAACAATCATAGAACATATTTTATTACGACATTTCGGTAGGCTCAAAGACAATTTTCCTAGTTTTTAAAAATTTAAGTGAAGATCAACTTGAGATTATGACTGTTTAAAATACTCTGTCTTTGTCGAACATTAATATTTGGAAAATTTATAAGGGTTTCATTACGCCTTTAATAACAATCTTCAACTTCTTGTCTGCCGGTACGTGGGAAACAAAAGAAAGAAAGAACACATTGTGTCACGCGTATATCTGCGCTTCAGTGAATATCACGGGTTAATGAATGGTCAAAGTAAAATTTACATTATCTGTATTGAAATACAGTCCTTTTTTAATTTACCATAACTCAAATATGCATACTTAAAACAAAAAAAGTTCCGAAACATACCTGTATATTATTCTTATCATCAACCACTGCGAGGAGAGGTTGGAGCACACCGTCGTTGTTATTACATATTCCTTTCAAATTCAATGGCTTTAGAGCACTTCTGTCTAGACTCATGGAGTTTTTAAGTAGCATTTTAGGTTGGACCTCTCTATGGTTAAATGACTGATGTCTCTTTGGTGTTGTGTGTACGCTCTCTGTGTTACTACTCGGGGACAGTGAGTTTGGTGTGTGTGGCGATAGTGGGTTGACGAAACTCACATCGAATTTCGTTGTTAGACGAACTCTCCTAGAAATTTTGATAAGTTTGGTTAGCTTTGATTGTTATTTACAAAGTTTTTAGATGTGACGGTGATCGTTTAAAGTAATACATAGTTAATTTGTTATTATTATTATACAGACTTCATTCATCAATTAGAATATTAGAAGTATATCACAGACGGGGCCCTATAGGGCTGATGTTCAGCCGGGGTTGCGGGGTAAGCGCAATGAGGCACCGCGACCTCAGCTCAGAACAGGAGAAGGAACAGGGGGGTTTTTAGTCAGTAAAAGTCTGACACTCCCTCCCGCCCGGCCCTGGTCGGGAGAAGTCATTTAATGATTTTCCCCTCACAAAAAAAGAAGTATATGGTGCAATATGTTATCCAGCCCAAATTACCATTTAGTCCAGAGCAGGAGAAGGAAAAGGGTTTTTTAAATCAGTAAGCGTCTGATACTCCTTCTCACCCCACCTAGGGTGCCAGAAGTCATAAGACCATTTTCAAAGAACAGTCCAAATCAACATTATTACGAAACAAATCATTGTGACACAACTTTTAATCCTCGATGAATTAGGACAGGCTGTGTAATGCAAAAATACTAGAGTCCAAACATACAGTTTGCGTAACCAAGGTATGTTATAAGTTAACTATTAGTCAAGGTTCATTATAAGCGAAACTCGTGATTTTTCAATAGTCAGATAAATGTTATCTGAGAAGTAAAATTGTTGCTGTCACTGTCTTATACAAACATTGTGACGCGACTGCATCATATTTTTCCCCAGGTAACTTTTATCTAACCGTTGAAAAACCAGCCCTAAAACATTCCACTATTCTACTACGTACACTCATTAAATTATAAACGAAATACTTAATAAAACTCACCCAGTCCGTTGCGCTGTTTGTGAGATGTATGACGCATCCAAGTACCACACTTTAGCGGAGTCTTCAATAGACCCAGTGCCTGTAAGTAGTACGTCTGAGCCGGGTTCAAATTCGTCCCACATCATCTCGCTCATTGCCATTGCTACCACGTTCCTGGAATAGGAAAAAGCATACTGTTAGTTAATTTTTATATACTTCTAACCGAAAGTACTTCTTTGAGAATAAGGTAGTCAAAAATTCAACGTATACCGCCTTATGACAAAACAAGGTTTTCTTTAGTCTAGGTCTCAGCCATTGAACCAGTTTTTGTATTTAACACCGAAGGCAGGTGAGATTAAGATTCAAAATATGAAACCAGACTCAAGAAATTTAATCAAAAACACTTTCACTGATTGACAAATTACTATTCTTATTTTTCTAGCAAAATGTATGCAACTTCATGCATAAAAAACGTCACAGCACACAGTATTCTGCAAAATTCGTAGAAAATTGACGATTTGATAATATGAAATAAGCATTCAATATAAATATAAACTTATAACTGAGTCAATTGTTTTTAAGTTTTAAATTGTATGTGATTTTGTAATTCGAATTCTCAACAAAATATTACAGCAGCATAGTTTCATATTTCTATTACGAACACACATTGATAGTTATTTATTTCCTAGCCATGTTGTATTAAGATAAAACAACTCTCCTTTGCCTTAATATTATAAAATAAATGAACAAGCACACAAAAACTTACCCCCTCCGATTCTCAAGATCAAAACACCGGGTATAAGTCTTGAGGTCAACACAAACAACTCGACTGTCGTCAGTAGCCACACAGAGGAGGGTCCCAGTTTTATTGACAGCGAGTGCAATGAAAAACATATTGTCCTTTATATCATCACTGGTAATTACACGTCGGCAACAACACGTGTTCTGTTTGATTGTATTCGTGTTCACTCGAAGCTCATGTTCCATAATCTCGTTCGGTTTTAGTGTTATAATTTTATTGCTACCTGTAATGTTAAAATAGTTAAGGGCGCCCTTTGGCTAGGTTTTTTTTTTTTTTTTTTTTTTTTTTTTGTGAGGGGAAAATCATCAAATGACTTCTCCCGCCCAGGGCCGGGCAGGAGGGAGTGTCAGACTCTTACTGACTAAAAACCCCCCTGTTCCTTCTCCTGCTCTGTGCCGAGGTCGCGGTACCTTATTGCGCTTACCCCGCAACCCCGGCTGAACATCAGCCCTTTAGGGCCCCGTCTGTGGTGGTCTATTGGCTCTTTGAGGCGCGCGCGGAACGCTACGCGCCGTACGCTCGGGCCTGGTTCTGGTCGGGCGGCGAGCTGCCCTTACTCGCCGACCGCAGGCCCGTACTTACGGTGGCCGGAGATCGTCCCTCGATCCCCGACGCCCGTAGTGTCGCCAGTTGCGGCTGCTGGGGCGTGAGGAGGAGGATTGCTCCCTCACGCGGGCCGCCTCTCTCTTTGCGAGCATGACTGCTTCACAAAAGGAGGAGACGGCGTCCCAGTTCCTCTCACTCCGCACCATGGCCTCGACTAAGGCCGGGCGCGAGAGGTCGCCGTCGCCGATCACTTCCCTGAGGATACGGCGGTGCTCAGCCCAGGCAGGGCATACCGCTACCGTATGCTCCACCGTATCCTCTAGGTGGTCCTCACAATGACGACACTCAGGCGTTTCCTCCCGCTGAATCCGAAACAGGAACCTACCGAAGCTGCCGTGCCCGGTAAGCACCTGCGTCAGACGGAAGGTGAGGACGCCGTGGCGTCTCTCAAGCCACTCCTCAAAGAGGGGTCTTACCGCTGCTATGGTAGCGTGCCCGGCCCTCGGTTGCGACAGTCGTTGTCTCCACTCTGCCGTGAGATCTCGCCGGAGCTCATTCCGCCACGCACTTATTTGGCGCGGCAGAGGATCTTCGCCCCGGCGACGCGCGTCTGCGCGCAAACTGTAGACGCGCGCGAGCGCCTTCGCTTCTAGATCCCACGGCGGTGATCCGGCAAGGAGGTTCGCCGCCTCCCCGGAGATCGTGCGATACCCGCGGATTACTCGTATAGCCATGACCCTCTGGGACGCGACCAGCGTACGAGCCGGCCGCCGCTTCAAGTCCGGCGCCCACACAGGGGCACCGTAGAGGGCCATGGATCGCACAATCCCCATATACAACCTCCGGCAGGAGGCGTTTGGCCCCCCGAGGTTGGGAAGGAGCCGCTTCAGCGAGGCCCCAGACCGTTCCAACTTAGGGGCCAAACGACGAAAATGCTCCGTGAAGTTCCATCGGCTGTCGAGGACGAGACCCAGGTACTTCATCGCCGACTCGACGCCGATGGTAACTCCTCCTGCCGTTACTTGGGACCCACCTGGAGGTGGCGCGCTCCGACGGCCATAGAAGCACATGGCCTCGGACTTGTGGAGCGCCACCTCGAGTCCCAACTGCCGGATCCTTGCAACGACTGTCGCAACCGCTTGTGACATCAGGTCGGCCGCCGCCTGATGCGACCTCCCGTTCGCCAGCACCAGCGTGTCGTCAGCATAGCAGACAATGCTGACGCCGCTCGGGAGGTCGGTGCGTAGCACCCAATCGTACCCGATGTTCCACAGGAGAGGTCCCAGGACCGATCCCTGTGGGACACCGCGCGACACCTCTCGCCGATTCCACACGCCCCGGTGACCGGGGTAGATGACGCATCTGTCCGTCAAGTAAGCCTCGACTACACGACGGAGATAGGCAGGCACCCGGTGATACCGGAGTGCCTCCAAAATGCAGCTCCAGGGCAGCGAGTTAAAGGCGTTGGCGATGTCCAGAGACACCGCCACGACGACTCGCCTCCCGGCCAATGCTGTCCCCGTCGTGAGGTCCCTCACGCGCATGATGGCGTCCACCGTGGAGCGCCCTCTGCGGAAGCCGAACTGGCCGTCCGCTAAATCCGGCCCCCTTCCAGACAGGTGCCCGACGAGGCGGTCTGAGATTATCCTCTCGAACAGCTTTCCCACCTCGTCGAGCAGCACAATGGGCCGGTACGCGGACGGAGAGTCCGCAGGACGCCCCGGCTTCTTCACGAGGACCAGTTTACCCGTCTTCCACGACAGCGGAAACTGGCCTCTCTCCAAACATGCGCTGAACAGACCAAGTAGTCGAGGCCTGAGAGCCTCCGAGGCCAGGACCCAGACCTTGGCATGCAGCCCGTCAGGTCCTGGGGCGGTATTCTTGCCGCTCAGCCGGCGCACCGCCACTCTCAAATCTACCTCGGTCACTTCCGGAGCGGATTCGTCGTCGTCGTCGATGTAGCCCGCATTGGGCACCGCAGGGGGCGGGGGCATAGCCGGAGGCGTGTAACCCGTCTGTGGTCGGGGGAATAGCGCCCCAACCACTTCGTCCACGACCTCCGGCCGGAGACTCTGAGTCAGTGGGGGCGCCCAGGTGCGGAGCTTATCACGCACCATCCGGTAGGGGCGTCCCCACGGGTCTCTGTTCAGAGTCTCCAACATCTCCTCGCGGGCCCGATCTTTGGCCCGCCGGATCTCCACCCTGAGGGTGGCCTTCGCCGCCCTGTACTCCTCGTATAGCTCCGCCTCTCTGGTTTCAGCGTCCAGAGGGCGGAGACGGAGCCTGCGGTGCCTGGTGTATCGGCGTCGCGCTGCGGTGCACTCACCGCGCAGGTCTGCCAATTCCTGCGACCACCAATACACCTGGCGCTTGCGTTGGCACGGTCGGATCCGGGGCATCGCCACGTCGCACATCCTTGACATGGCGTCCTGGAGCCATCTCGCCTCCTCGTTAATGTCGGCTGGCCTGACCGGTGGTATCACCCAGGCCTGCACGACTGCGGCTTCCAGGAAAAGCTCCCGGTCCAGTTGCCTAAGCGCCCAACGCGGGCCACACGGGGCCTGTCTGACTGGCGGGTCTGCGGACTCGGCGGAGACGTCGAACCGTATATACCGGTGGTCCGAAAACGTCTCCACCTCCTCCATGACGCGCCAGTCAACAACGCGCGATGACAGAGCGGGGCTGGCAAACGAAATGTCCACCACTGACTCGCCCCGCATCCGTACGCACGTGGGGACAGAACCCCGGTTCAGCACGACTAGGCCTGTCTCCAGAGCCCAGTCTTCGACCATCCTTCCCCGGACATCAGTGAGCCGGGAACCCCAAGCCAAATTCTTGGCATTGAAGTCCCCGAGGACCAACACGGGGAGGGGACGGAACCCGACGACGACGGTGACTAACTCCCTGAGGGAGTTGTGGAACTCGACGAGAGTTCGGTTCGGAGAGAAGTACACGCCCACCACGGCGATCTCTCCGAACCGAGCCGCGACGCAACCCCTGCCTCGCTGAGGCCCTTCGGGGGTTGGGGTACCGGCGGCGGCCGACGAGATGATGGTCACCGAGCCGTCCAGGTCTGACACCCAGTGTTCCCTGGCTGGAACGAAGTACGGCTCGGAGACCACAGCAACATTGATCGACCACTGCGCCATGCTCTGGAGCAGGAGATCCTGAGCAGCGACGCAGTGGTTGATGTTCGCCTGGAGGAGGCGTAATGGAGCCATTATTGGGTATCCATCACGACCTCCTCTCTGACGGCAGCGGCGACAGCAGCAGTCGCAGGGGTGTTGGCGACTGCGGCGGCAGCGGGAGCGACGGTGGGAGCGGTGGAGGTGGCTAAGGGCCTACCTTTGCTCCTGGGCTTGGTGGGGGGGGAGCAGGTTTTGCCCCCAGCCCGGTGATCGGCCGGCTTGCCAGCCGCCGCACATACTACGCAGTGCGGCGGGGCGGTACAAGCGCCGGCCCTGTGACCGGGCTGACCGCAGCGGAAGCAGCGGTCGCTGCGGTCCACCTCTGAGGTGCATTTGGCACCCACATGATGACCAATGAGGCAGCGGAAGCACCTCAAAGGTCGGGGCTCCAGCAGCTTCACCTGCGCCGAAACCCAGCCCACCAGGAGCCTTTTGCCCTCTGCCAGCTTTTTGGCCGCTGTGACGGGGCAGCTGACTACCACAGTCCGCAGCCCCGTATTGTCCGGGCGGATAGTGCCTGCCTTGACCTGGTCAGCAGGGCACCCCCCCGTCCTGGCGACAGCGGCCGCCACCTCGTTCTCCGTCACGGAGTCATCCAGGCCCATGATGCGTAGATCCAAGCATTTGGTGGGCCTGGACACGCGAGCCTCATCCGCCGCAAGGCACGTCCTGAGCCTCTCGGCAAGGGCGTCAGCGGATGGGCCGCTGGCCGCGCCGGGGACCTCCAAAAGACGGGCTCCAGTCGCGGTGACCCTTACCGCGAACCCGTTAGGGGCCCCGAACTCCGCGGGAGTAACCGTCCCCTTCAATTTGGCGAGGACGTCGCCGTATGTCACCCCCTTCTTAGCCGCGTCCGGCTGTAGCGTGATAACTACAGCCGAAGATTTAGGGGTGAGGAGCATTGCCGCAGCGCGCTTCTCTTTGCGTCGTTGCTGCCGCCGCTGTCGCTGCTCCTTCTTGCGGCGCTTTCTCGCCTCTTTGGCGCTCCTTCTCGCCTGCCCGGCCACCTGCCACCCGTCGCCATCGGTGCGCAGCTCTGATAGCGGGGTTGGGGCTGCAACGGCTGGAATTTCAGCTGCTGCGCCTCTTCGCTTGCGGCTATTTGGTGCCAGAGGCACAGCAGGAGCCGGTGCCGGTTGAGCTATAGGCGTCCTCGTCAGCGGCGGGGCTCTCGGTGCTTTCGCCCTTTTCTCCACCGGGGCGTCTGCTCTGGCGCCGCGGCTAGGAGGCTGCTTCGTCTTCGCTGCCGCGGCTGCATAAGTGCCAGTTGCGAGCGGGGGTCGGAGGAGCCTACCCTCCAGAGCGTCGAAACGCTGCTGGAAGGCGGCCATCTCCTGCCGCATGAGGCCAAGAAGGTCGGCCTCCACTGGCTGCGAGGGTTGGGGACGACCCGCGCGAGCAGCGGCGAGTTCCGCCTTTGCTGCACGAAGTTCCGCCTCCAGGGCAGAGTTCGCAGCCGCTAATCGGGCCAGCTCGCGCCTCATTCCGGCCATCTCTTTTTGCAGAGCGGTCATCTGCCGCTCTGCTGAGCCCTGCTGGGATACCGCTGACATTATAGCGGCCTCCGCGTGCTTAAGCACTCCGTTCCTGCCAGCCTGGGTTTTTTGCCCAGCCAGCATGCGGAGTGCTTCCTTAACCTGGAGGCGGAGGCTCTCAGCGCCGCCTACAGAATCCTCACCTCCGGACACCTCCATCTCCGAGGAGTCCGAGGGGGCAGCCTTTCCCAGGGCGCTCCCCTCCGCTGCCAGCCGCTCTGCCGGCTCAGAGCGGCTCCCAGCCGCTCTTGTGGAGCCCTTCCCCTTGCTCCTACCCCGCGCAGCCGTGGGGATTTTGGGGGCTGGGGCCTCCTGCTCGATGGAGGTCGCCTCTCGGCCATCCTCCAGCCTGGGACGTTTGAAAACGCCCCGGTCTTTTTTGTGGCGCAGCGCAATGCTGACGCCAGACAATGATGAGTCGGACTCAGAATCCGACTCCTTCCTTCCCTGTGCCCTTGCAAGGGACTTGCTGGACGGGACCAGCGCCTCCCCACGGGTCCGAGTGCCACCTTGGCTCTCGTTACCACTTGCAAGCTGGCTTGCCTTCTCCTGCACTTTTGGTGGTGGTATTTTATTTTTGTTTGGGTCTTCCATGTGATTCCCACGAGTATGGGGGAAATAAAAGGTCCGCCCAGGGAGAGCCCCCTGTCCCTGGGTAAGTGTGCATTTGTCTCCCAACTAGGGGGTCCACCGGTCCCCTAGCTGGGGGTGCGCTCACGACTGATCCTACTCCTCAGCCATACATACCCTCGCCGCGCACCAGAACTTAGTATTGGAGGAATTTTTTATAGAGGTTATCTTCCTCGCGGTCCGGGCGGTTAAGCCAAGACCCTCGTCCCGGTCCGAGTCATAAAACATGACCATGATCTCTTCCCGGATTACGATATCGGCGGGTGCAGTCGGGCGCAGCTAGTGCCCCGATGCTACTCATTGGCAGGGTGAGTGCACAACGAGCGCCGCCCTTGTTTCTCCGCCCCGCTCTCTGCTAGGTCCAGAGAGTCGTGCGGAGGAACGCCCCCACGGAGGCGTAGACTCTATGCCAGCATAGAGCCGGTCGCCTCTAGAACCCGACCGGGTTCTCCGCCCGGCCAGAAGTTCGCTGCGGGCGACAGTCAAACCAACCCTGTCACCATCCCGTTAGGGAGACTGTCGCCCGCACCCAGGGTGCACCACGGGGAGGTCTTCTGGCACGCACCCCGCCCTTTGGCTAGGTGAGCTGAACATTGAGTCCAGTGGCGTGAAATTGGGGTGGCCTATGTCCAGCAACGGACGAAATCAGGCTGCTGATGATATGACATACAAGTTCTAAGTATGTATGGATGACTAAACTGCTGAATGGATTTGACAGAGATATTGTAGTCTAGACATAATAACTCTAACAGATAGAAGCCGCTGGCATAATCTAGTACCATATAACATAAGTCTGTAATAAGGATGGTGGTGTTAGGTGGTGGTAAAAGTAAAGATGGCCTTATATGGATGAAAATTGCAATCTAACAATAACTTATTCATTTAAATACATCAATTAGAATTGACGTCATAATAATTGTTCGTTTGTTCGTAGAAAGTCAATATGAAGTTCCTATTTATGGCGTTAATATGAAGTTCCTACTAAATTAATAGACAAGGATGCATCCAACTTATTAAGTATAATAAGTTGATAGAGGAAATCTGTGGTGTAAGTGTAATACGTAGTCAGTAGATGATTCAAATTTATGAGTATTATGTGTGTTGCAAACAAAATAAAGTGCTAGTTTTTCCTTCTGACGTAGAAGGGTATGTGATGTAATTGCAGATATTATTGTATCCATAGTTATACTCATAACAAAAATAATGGCGTATAAGGCTATGTCAGATAAGACTAAAAGTATTTCAACTATTTTTGACAGCTATATTATGTTATATGTGTTTATTTTTGTTCTAATACACTCTATTTCATACTAGAGATACCATATTAGAGTTCTAGGAAACATTCCGCATGATTGTCGTGATAACCTAATACGTAGACAGTTGCGCTTTGCCAAATACGCCATTGATGCAAATAATTAAATTGAGTTCAACGATCTTGAGACCATTTCTGTAATAGGTACTTATTAAATTAAGGAAATAGGTAGGCATATGAGCCCCTAACGTGATTTGAAAGCAGTCGTTATCTCGCCTAGTTACATGAGGCGCGACGAGCACTCTGCACCTGAAGAAGAGTCCCATTGGGCCTTAAAACTAGTAGAGCTTTACAATAAATTTAGTATGTTCCACGATAGTTACTATTAAAAAAATTACGTGAGCAAGACGGTAACCATCTATGCTAATATTATAAAATTTGTAAGTTTGTATGTAGGGGGTAATATTTGGAACTGCTGGTCGGATTTCGATAATTCTTTTACTGATAGATAGCTACAATGTTCCTGAGTGCTATAGGCTGTAAAACATCACGCTACGATTAAATGGAGCCGAGCAGCGGGTGAAACCGCGCGAGAGTAGCTAATATTTAATAAATCTTCCTTGAAATTCTAACAAAATATTAATAATATTAAAGGGAAAACTTACGAGGAACAGTAACCATGTCTAAAACAATATCAGACTCATCGAACGTGATGATTCGTTCCCTGGTCTTCAAATCGATGACTTCAACTCTTTTGACCGGTCCATCGGTAGCAACAATGACATTCTTATCATAATTACAAGGGACACAGCAAACGATCTCTCTATCTCTATCAAAGTCTTGTATTGTTTTGAAAATTTTGTTCTTTTCGCTTCTAGAAGGATTGTAGAAGTCGATCTTTTTGCTTGTGTGCATTATAAGGTATTCTTCATTGTTCGCCCATCTACAGTTGAGATATGAGCCCTGAATTTGTTCAACGTCCGCGTATGTGTTATTGTAGCATTCCTCTGGTTCTGTAATACAGAAATATAAGTTTAGCGTATTTGACAATACAAAAACAGCTATAAGGAGGCACAGGTAAAAGATACGTAGTTATGATGGATGTTATTGCTATTCTTATTAATCTCCTTTTTTCGGTCTCTTATTTTAAGTATTTCTTAAATATGTGAGTTCGTACATTAAGGCCCAGTTTGGAGCCGAAGGAACTGCGTTTTAATCAGTCATAATATGAAACCCCGTCTCGCCTCAACCGAAGTGGGAGAAAACATTTTTGATGATTTTTCTTCCGAAAAAAGCCTGGTTTCATGTCTGAATACTCATGTACCAGATAAATTTGAATACATAAAGTTATTTGTATGTATTCATAAGTTTATTAAGACAGTAAAAAAAACCTTTTCACTAATATTTTATCTTAAACTTTAAAATGCTTCGTCTCTTTGACTTTACGATTTTTGAACGGGAGTTCATTATGTAATATTATAAAAAAGATCAAAAATCATACCTTCTTCGATAACATCGTCATTCTCTTCATTGTCCACGTCATCGACGTACCATAGTTTGATGACGCCATCGTAAGCTAACGCGGCGACGACTGGCGGGTTCTTCATTAGGGACACTCCGATCCATTTGATTGGTGATCCGGTACCACGGAGCTCCTTCCTCAGTTTGTTTGTTACGATGTGGAAGAACTAGTCAAGAAAGGGTGTATGTTTATGTAGGTTTTTTAGATAAACAGAATACTAAAGTGTTGGAGAGCCATGCTTCGGCACGAATGGTGTGATACCACAGCCTCACAGAAAACCGGCGTGAAACAACCACAGCGTTGTGTTTCGCCGTATGAGTAAGGTTACTGGAGGCTCAATCCTTCCCCTCCCCCAATCCCTCCTCAATCCCCAAATCTCCAAATCCCTAATCCCTATAAGATCGGCAACGCACTCGTAACTCCTCCGTTGCTTACCACCAGGTAATCAGTCTGCTCGTTTGTCAACCTATTACATGAAAAAAAAACTAGACGCAAACGTAATAATGCACCGCGATACCGACATAAGCAGGAGGATAACGGGGGTTTTTAGGCAGTAAGACGCTGAAACTATCATTCGCCCAAACCAAGGCGGCGAAAACTATTTGATAATTTTCTCCCTCAAAAAACCCATTTCATTTAATTATTCAATGTAACATCCATATTTGACAAGCATTGCTATTATTATTACAAATTACTAAAATCAAGAGTAGAGCTCACAGCGTGTTTGTTTTATGTTAACACCTTTAAAACTTTAACGCGTCCAGATTGGTTGGATAAACTGGTTCTGATTGGTTGGTTAAGTCTCCGCAAGCCAATCAGAAACGTCATAAACACGTCAGTCACCTTAACGTAATGGAAACTAGGCACTCTAGCGGAATCAGTGTATGTAAAGAACAATTTGTATGAACTCACCTTAATGATACCGGAGTTAGTACCCACAAGTACGTAATCCCTTAGAAAGCACACAGCTGTGATCTTTTCCTTAACATCAATAGTTGAATGTTTGATTTCATCCACGTTCTGCTCATGCCTGTTAATAAAAATAATAAGCATAATTAATAAAAAAAAATACAAATATTTGTTTTATTAGAGACAGTAAAGGTGGTGTGGTGATGCACATAATAAAATCAACGTACGACGTCACAAATCCTACATCGCCTAAGTGAAGAATCGAAATAACGTATAGAAAATCCCAACGTATATCTGTTGGGCAGTTAGAGCCTGTTTGGAGTAACCTCATTTTTCTATCTTAAAAAACTTTGCTCTCTGATCCCTAAACACCTACGAAGAAGACGCTATGTCTGGGTGGAACATGGAAGACTTCTCTCAAACACGTCAAAATTATTACAAAAGTTTCAAGAGCCTTCAAAGTTCAACGATTCTTAAAAAATAGCTACTAATTTCGAAGCCAAAATATCAAATCCTCTTTATGATTCTCTTTGAGATGAAAATTGTAAATAGTGTAACTACCGTTCTTCCTCAAATACTTATTACCAATTACATTCTGATCGCAAAAATCGCCTGTGTAAAGTATAGCTGTGATGGTACTTGAACTTATGTAGCGTGACATAAGATGTCTACTTTTGATATTGAATAGTTATTACATTGATATTTATGTACTCTAGAGATTATGGCACGCTCGTTATGGGTCACTCAACATAGTCTAGACGGCATAGTCTGTCTGTACATTTTATGTATTACATACAATGATGAGTCATATAGACATTTCGCGGTATTATAGAACTCTATTTATTTGCTATGGAAACTTAAATAAATGACCAATAGATTGAATAATAATCTTATATATAAAAATGGATCGCAAAATGTGTTGTAAGCGCATAACTCAATAACGCCTGGACCAATTTGGCCAATTCTTTTTTTAAGATGTTCGTTGAAGTCCAAGGATGGTTCTTACGGCGAGAAAAAATCGAATAATTGCCGGGAAAACCCTAAAAACAGTCCTTTTCTTTTTCACATACAAACGTTTTCTAACTAAAACGTCGAATCAATTTGAGCTTTATTGCTGTTATACATAAGGTTCATATTAAATAACAAACACTCACTGTTATCTAAGAAATAAATGAAAGAAGAAAAGGTGTGTTCCTAACGTCAAAAAGTAAATTTGCACTTTCTTACCGCTAAACAAAGTTCAAATTAAATCATCTATCAAAACAGTGTGCGCGTGTGCTTTGGACCAGAATTCGTCGATTGAGGATTAACAAGTCGGGTTCCGAAAACAAAAAAAAAATCCGATTTGAATGATTCTTTCAGTGTTATGTAGTCCATTTATCGAGGAAGGTATATTTTATTTTATTCAAAATTAGGGATCTGTAATAAAATTGCTATTTTGTAACACAAGGAGTAAAATCGAAAACCTATTTTTGCGTGCGCTGCAATAACTATTGACCATAGAACAAAATGATGTTCTACGGGTTTGTAGATTCTATTAAAACCTACAAAAAGTCCGCGAGAGCATATATCTAGCTATCATGGTTTAATCACAATACCCGATTTTGTGTTCAAAATAATTATTAAATCGTCTGAAGGAAAAAAAGCGTTAAATATGTATCGTAATATTATTCTTTATCGGAATTAAGCATTATGTTATCAAGAGTATTTATTTATAAGTATTTTAAAATACTTTTTTATTTCCTCTCAATCTCTCAATCGTTTAAAAGTTATCATGTGTGTAAGATGTTAAGAGTTGGTACCTTATTAATGAGTTATGGACCATAGAGTTTTTTATCAACATAAAATCCTGTAATAATATTTTTCGTAATATATTTGTTGATGATTGTAAGTATAAGATGTTTGAAGAGTATAAGAAATACATTTCTAAACTAACTCTGCTAAGGAAAAGGAAATCCAAGGAAAAACATACAATTTAATTTGGAAATGTCGTTGCGGAAGCCAAACGATGTAAATGAATTAAATGAGTATATTACTGTAAATGTACCCAAGTTCTTTAATGACCAGGTAATGGCAAACAATAGTGTTAAGCTCAGTGTTGTTTCAATGAGGGAATAATATTTTTTTGGATGCTCCAGGCGGAACCGGCAAAACTTTCATTAGCTACAAATATGATATTAGCAAAAGTAAGGTCTCAGGGAAAACTAGCTTTGGCAGTAGCGTCATCTGGAATCGCTGCTACTATATTGCTATATTAGTTGGCGTACGCACAGCTCATTACACTTTTAAACTAACATAACCTAACCGTTCCGTTACAGAAAGAGCGTGTGCTCTATTCGTAAAAATGGCCTTTTAGGCAAAGTTTTGTAAGATGTCACTTTAATAATCTGGGATGAATGTACCACGATTCATAGAGCTCATGTGGAGGCTCTAGATAGGACTATTATAGATATTAGAGACTGTGATAAAATCATGGTTGGGATTACTGTCATGTTTGCTGGGGATTTTCGGCAAACTTTACCAGTAGTAGTAAGAGGAACTAAAGTAGACATTGTAAAAAATTGCCTTAAAAGTTCTCTATTATGGAAATTTGTTTAAACCTTAAAACTATCTACGGACATGAGAGCATATTTGGGAGGAGGTAGTACAAATTTTCCTTTGAAGTTACTTTTAGTTGGAGACGGAAAAGTACCTTATTTTGAAAATAAAATACCTATTGATCAAGATTTATGAGAAAAAAGACTAGCATTGAGAGTTTAATATCAAAAGATATCGTCGAAATAGAAAATAAAGATTATCAATGGAAGTGTGCACAGTCGGTGCGGTGGCTGGGCAACTGGCTGCCGTGCAACGTGTCGCGGGTTCGATTCCCGCACGGAACAACACTTTGTGTGATCCACAAATTGTTGTTTCGGGTCTGGGTGTCATGTGTATGTGACATTGTATGTTTGTAAACGCACCCACAACACAGGAGATATTCCTAAAGTGTGTACTTACAGTAGAGTAAAGTCTAAACAGTAGTGTTGACAAAATTAACGATTTAATTTTAACTAAACTTCCAATGGATCAAGAATATGCAGTCCATTATCTACAGGGATGTTTTCATTCTTTAAACCCGAGGGGCATCCCATCACATTCTCTCAAGTTAAAAATTGGTGCCCCATTATTTTACTTAGAAATTTATGTAACGGGAGACTTTAAGTTAAATTTGTTGGCAATAACGTGATAGTTGCAATAATAGTTCTGACTGGTCCAGTGGTTGGTCAAACAGTATTTATACCTCGGATCCTAATGATTCCAAATGATTTGCCTTTACATTTTAATCCAATTCAGAAAATAAGACAAAAAATATTTTTTACTCAGAAGTACTTTAAAATGATATTTGAACCCGGTTTAAAGTGGACGGACACTCCCGCCTGTAGTCGTTATTCTTACTTTGGCTGAATTTTGAACAGATAAACAGCTATTGCTTACTTGACTTATACAATTTAACTTAATCTATGTTTTTCTTAATATTATACCTAAACATGAAAAGTTTGGTTGTTTGTTATGAAGGCGGTAATCTCGGGAAATGCTGATCTGATAATAATGAAAACTGTTTAAATATTCAATAGTCCATTTATTGAGGGAGGCTATAATATAGGCAATATTTTATCTCGGTATTTCCACGGAAACGACAAAAACGCGGGTGAAACCGCGGGGCACAGCTAGTAATAAATAAATTTAACAAAAGGTAAAAGCTTAAAATTTGAGGCACCGATATCTAAACTATCAGTGGTTGGGTAATCGATCAGTAGACAGGTATCAGCGTCATAAACGACGAAGTTTTCCGCTAACAAAAACAAAATTAAAAAATACTTATGTACATAATATTCGGTTGAAATGAGAACATCTTAATTTTTTGGGATTCGGTTAAAAAGTGAGCGTTTGTTAGTGCATATCAATATGATTATTTAATAAGGAAAAACGCCTAATATTATTATTGATACAGGCACAAAACTTAGGCATATAAACAAAAGCGCAATTAGACAAAAACCAAGTAATGTTGAATGCGAAGCATGCAAATAAATTTTAATTTGAATATAAAAAAATTAAAAGCAACCTATTATCATGAGACAAGAACATGAGTGGTGAACACGACCACACAGAAAAATGGCGTGGAACTACGCCAGGTGTGTTTGGCCATGTAAATAAGCTTATTGGTGGCCCAGTTCCTCAAATCGAGTGTCTTATCCTTATAAGGCCTTGGTAAGTCAAGATAATCTCTTGCAACTACATACTCAATACAACTACCACTTCATAATCACCATAAGGCAGACTGATCTATTGCCACCTAGTTACAAAAAAATAATAATAATAAAAATAAAGAAAAGAAATACTTACAGAAAATCAAAATACAGCTCATTATTATTGCAATTCTCTTGGGCAATTTGCGATGCTTTCGAATATAATATGCCTTTGGATTCGTTTTGTAGTATACTCTGAATAATGTCAGTGCAGGGGTAATGAAATAGGTCAGTCCCGTGTGTGCTGAGGAAAGCTTTGGTGCTGCTAATCAGTTCCTTGTCTAGCTCCTAAGAAAACAAAGCATGATTACCAAAAAATATATTTAAATAACAAAAAAATAAAAACAATATGGTAAAAGGCTTTTTATTGACACGCTGAATTAGATCTTATCTGTACATGAAAGTAGAACTTATTTTGCGTGTAGTTAACTCGCAATATAAGACCTTATCGCTTCTTGATAAAGCTAGAAAAATAAAAATGTTATGTTCATAATAATACTTCTATCAATGTAATGAAATTATGAAAAGATTTTAACCAAATTAGAAATACCTATAGTATTAGCTACGTTTTTATAAAATAAACAATTACGTAATTAGTCAACATATCATTACTGAATAAGGAAGTACACGAGGATATTTTGCGGTTTTTATTTTGTATAATCTATACTAGTATTATAAAGAGGTAAAATTTGTAAGTTTGTATGTAGGGTAATATTGGAAACTGCTCTGGTCGGATTTCCAAAATTCTTTCATTGATAGATAGCTGCAATGTTCCTGAATGCTATATGGAATATCTATAAATTTGAATCGATTTGCGTATATTAGTCAATCTATAGTTTTAAAACGCTGCAGTTTATAAAATCCCGGGATACCTTACATTCATACGCGTTCGAAGTCGCGACCTAAAGCAGTCAAGTTACAAGCCAGTTACAAAGTTATAAGCTAGTAGGGACAGGAAGAGGTCTAAATATTGGCAAATTTACGCTTTCGTAGACCGCGATTGCGACCATTTGCATAGTAGTATGAGGAAAACTTTGGTATCGGATATAAATAACCTAATTTGTATGCGATAATATTAACAACATTAAGATAATTTGCCCTCAATTTAGAGCTTATGTCACTTGGCTAGTTATTTTTTATCAGTGATACAAAAATGTACATACTAGAAAGCTTTTAAGTCAGGTTAATTACTGATTTATTTGTAAAATACTGGAAATATCAAAACGATTCAGCAACAATCTATATAAGAGACTAAAATACTTATGTATAATTTATTATTCAAAGATTGAATTTTATATGAATAGTCCCGGGTTCCGGGAAATATTTATTTGTATATGTGTTATATTGAATAACATTATATGCAATTAATTTCTGGAAATCTAGAATAGGGAAGAACGGGGATTGGTTGTCTAGCGGGTAAGTTGTCATAGAGATTATAAAAAGTAAATTAGTGAACAAAATATGAACATCGGTTTGAGTAAAAGAAAAGCGGCTCTGTAAAAAACGCCTTATGAATACTATATACCACAACAAATAACATATACCACAACCTCCCATTACCGCTGCAACCTTTGTAAGCTAGGACTTACAGTGGATACAACCACGAAAACACCGAAACACTGAAGTAGGATATGCCTTAGCGATTCTTCGTAGTCGATCAATTAACTAAATAAATTACCCAGGAGACAACCATCCCATGAGACAACCAACCCATTCCTTCAACGTAATTGAATATTTAACACAAAAAATACTTACATATCTGACAATGTAAGGCTCATAGTTCTGCAGGTCCGACATCACGTCGGCTGGTCCCGTCAACCTTACTTTGTTGCCCAAAAACTTCAAATTCAGGAACAATTTGTTGAACAACGTCCACATATCGTTGTAATTATCCGTGTGCTTGATATGGTAACCAATGTAGAAGGCGATGTAGCCATCATCAATGATCTCTAGCGGTGGGTTTGTAGTATTATAGTGATAACTATTTAGGAACTCAGTGTGTAACTTCTTACTATCATCTTCCCCAGTACTCTTCAAGTACTTCATAATAAGATCATGGATCTCATACAAGTAGTTCCTCTGATCTCGATCATACACTTCGATGATGAGGGATTTACTACGCAACTCTTTCATGATAGATTCCACCTGCGAATCCTCTTTGTTCCACAATTTGCTTAGGACTTTGGCAGAAATTTTCACGTTGTCGGGAAGAATTTTTAGTTTTTTGAACAATGGTAACACATTCTGGTTTAGCGAGTTGATGCATACTTCGATTGTTTTCATCGGATTATAAGTTTGATTTATTGAGATGCTGAAATATTAAAACGTAATTATTTTCCTACTGATCTTATTTTTTTGGACTGACGCCTATAGGTTACATTCATCTTTAACCTCTTAAATAGAATTTTCCGAAAAAATAATTCTTTATCAGCTGAGTTTTAAGCAAGGATGCGGGGAGTTCAGTATTATTTTTTTGTCAGAGTAATTAGATATAATTTACATATTATCAAATTCTTGGTTATATTTATGACAGTCAAAATGATAAAATACCAATAATTTACTTAGAGTTAACCCTGGTGACTAAATTAGTGATAATTAATAAAATTATTAGAAACTGCTTACAATGAAAAATGATTCTTCTTTTTTAATTCTTTGACATAATAATTCCATCGTTTTGGATCGTCAATGAGTCTTTCCCTGTTTTCTGCTAGTTGTGCTCCAATGAGGCCGATGTTAAAAGGGCTGCCTTTGCAAAGCTCATGGATTTTCTTCGCTTGCCACGGTAGCTTAGATACAGGCACTTCAAGCGATAGGGCGAAGATTTCCAAAGATTCCTTTTCTTCTAAACTGTTTTCTATCTGAAAATTAATATAATTTGAATTAAAACAAGTCATATTAAATACATTTTGTGTTCCTCGCAGTGTAGTTGGTTGCGTCATTTCTAAAGGGTCACATATTGCTATGACAAGGCCTCGAAACTTGGTGTAATTAGACGGAATTTTATTTTTTTATGTGATATACGTCAAGCAGACGAATGACCTGATGGTAAGCAATCGGAGCGCGCATGGACACGAAACACACAATTTTTGGTTAGTTGTAAGTGGTTTGAGCAATTTCCTACATTATCGGTAACGCGCTGGTGTTAAAGTTTCGTTGATTATTAAATAACTTTTATATAAATGTAAAAAAGTTGTGTGAAGACGTATGCATGTTTGTTACTCTTTAATGCTAAAATCACTGAATATATTTAAACGAAATTTGATAAACAGATAGATTATACTCTGTGTTGTAGTTTTAGACCAAAAACTGTACATATGTAATGTAAATAATTTTACTGTTATTAATGTTATTACAAACTTAAACCAAATTAATATTAGTGAAGTGGATGACTGAACGCAAGATTTTTTATTATAATGCGTGGGATATAAGAGTGATGTAAGCCATCGATTTAACTTCACTTAACTTTGGAATTAAGAACCTTAATGCAAATTAAATATAGCTTCAATTAGATTGTATTTTTTGCATTACTTGTGTAAATTAGGCAGTAAAATTGGCATTAGTTGTTTTATCTCGGTTTACGATAAATTGATTACTGCTTGGAACTTAAAGCATGATAAGATCTAACTTAAATAGACACTATCGAAGCCTAAACCATTGAATTCGATAATATCTGGTTATTGAAATAAATACATAATTTATACTATTATTTTTATATAATATTCTACTATAAATATATCTATAAACGACGTAACGGATTTTTAAAGCGTAGACTGATTATAGAGGAATGTTTGTAAGTAAAATATCCATGTAGTGGAGAACTTTGGTAATAGCATTGCATCCACGCGAGTTGGCTCACTAGTTTGTAAATAAATAAGAGATAACATTGAGATAACCTGCAGGTTTTGTTGGTTAAGTACCTACATTAAAAAATATATTTACATTTAATGGCATCTATTATCCATTGGACACACAAATTAGTCTTACACCCGGTTTCTAAAAGGCTTGTCAACGCTAAAATTAACTAATCTCCTGTTAAATCTCTTGTCAAGTCATCTGATTGGTTGTTGATAATTCAGTCAACCAATCAGATGACTTGACAAGAGATTAAATTGATTTTAACATTGATCGGCCTTTCGGAAACCGGGGGTTAGTGTTAGTTACGTACCTATTATTATTAATAGGTACCTACCTAAAACTAAGACTAAAAGTGGGTATAGGAAACTACAATGTTAGTTGCTGACTAATTTTCTATTTAATATGACATGCAAAAGTAAGCTGATTGTATTCTTTGTGCTTTATCTCCTCAACTATCTTCTTGAAATCTATTCTTCTATACTAATATTATAAAGAGGTAAAATTTTTAAGTTTGTATGTTTGTAAGTTTGTATGTAGGGTGTAATCTTTGGAACTAATATAATGGAAAAATATAATGCTGGTCGGATTGCCAATATTATTTCACTGGTAGATGGCTACAATGTTTCTGAGTGCTATTATAGGTTATAAAACATCACAGTGTGCAGCGGGTGTAACCGCGCGAAAGTATCTAGTATTGTATACATTGTTTTTTTTGGGGGAAACTGACTTCTCAGGGCAAGACAAAAGAGAGGCAGAATCTTACTGACAAACCTCTATCGACTGAATGTATAGATATAGTTGAGAGTACGGAGAAAGACACAGTCTAAGTTTGTACCTAGCTTCACTGACGAACAGACTGACAGACTCTTATTTTATTTTGACGTTCCAACAGTACCTATTTATGGTTTATTTGTAATAAGTGATTTGACTTTAACTTTTACTTTATCTTTAAAAACGCTATATTCTTTAAGTACAACGCTGAGGATGTGGTCGGAAATTAAGCATTATACATGTTTAAGACACAATTTGTTTGTTTCAAGTAATCATTTTGTATTCCGCAATTGTACCGGATGCGTACATTCATTACGAAAACGTGTTTTTTGCACGCAATATTAGTTACACATATTTTATTATATTATAATATTATTTACATACATTAATTAATCTAAACTCACGTGAATGTTAAATTCCCATTGGAAATATTTTAGGAATTATTATATTTTAATATTATTATTTTAGGAATTATCAGAATAAAAAATATTAAAAATAATAAAATTATCTAATCTAAACGCATGCTCAATTTCATCTTAATCAGTCCAGTAGTTTCTGCGAATTGAACAAACACACATCCAAAACGGTATTAGCTTAATTTGTTTATCCTCTTAAAGATTAATTAAAAGTTTTTACTAATACTCACTGTGATAATTTGTGGAGCATAATAAGTAACCACATTAGTATCTCTTGTCGTGACCAAAATCTTGCAGCCGATGTCGAACGCTTCCAAACACTTTTTGTCATTAACTTCATCCAACACAAGGAGGCATTCCTTCAGAGATGGTTCAGCGAATTGTGCCCTTAATTTGTCTCTAAGGTCGTTCATTGTCCAGTCGTAATTAGAGGACGAGTGACTGTCGCCATTAGAACCGATGCTTGACATAGAAATCGATGAGTTCATGTACGAATTTTGCGTGTACATTGATGAGGCTTTTCTTAGTAATCTGCAAAGATAGAAAGCAATGTAGGTTGTGGGATTAACGCTATAATGTACTACGCCTGTGGCCAGAGAAGGAACGGGGTGGTTTTTCGTGAGTAAGAGTCACACTCACTCTCGCCACATCATACCAGGGCGGCAGAAGAGGTATGACGATAATACCATCAAAAAAAATGTAGATAACGCGTTAAAATGTGGTTTTGATGTGTAGGTGATCCTATTACAATAACTTGCGTTGAAAAATTATCGATTTAGTAATAATGGTACCGAACATTTGACTTGCTTTTTTGCGCGGGAGCATTAGGTAATCATTATGAAAAAAATTTGGGAATCAATTTTCATAGATAGTGGTGAAACACATCATCTCCACTAAGGCTGCATGTCTGTACGAGACAAACTCAAAAACTACCGAATAGATTTTAATAAGTACCATTTTTAACAATGTATTTGGGGAAAGCCATGTATAATTACGTAAGGAAAGTGTCAACTTACTTGCTTTGTTGGAAAATAATGTCATCGTCAGTCTTGCAGTTGCCGAAGTTTAACCAGAACACGACGCCATTGAAGTTGTTGGTGACCAAATCAGGGTTGTCTCGTAAAGCGCTGAGGACCACACAAGTCTTCCCTGAGCCAGACATACCGTGTAGCACGAGGACTTTGTGTCGCGCCAGCGACTTCAATTTCTCTGCTACATTTTGTTCCTAAAGAAAAAAGGAGATGTTGAATAGTAACTATTGTGAGACACACAAAATTTATTGAAAACTACCTTTTGCCTGCGACTTCGTTCACGTGGAATAGTGGCTTACTGCAGATTTTTGGTATAAAAACTATCCTATGTCCTTTCTCGAGTTCTTAACTATATCTGTACCACGTACCACGACGCGCACGCTGCTTACGAAGAAGGTTATAGGTAGTTGTGACTTAAAAACTAGCAAAGCTTTTCTCAGTTTAACTTGAGTAATTCATTATATTCAATAAATTATAAATATACTATTAAATTAAATGTTAGTTTTCGTAGAAAACGGTAGTTTCCAACTAGTCAAATTCAATACCTTTATCCAAATGTCAAAAACGATACTTTTCTATGAAATTTGTATGATGTCATAATCATAGCAACACCCAAGGTGTTACGTTAGTGAAGCGCGTTGCTGGCTTTATTCATCTGGCAACCTTACTCACAAAACACTGTTCAATCATTTCACACTGGTCTCTGTGAGGCCTAGATCAGTCCAGTGCCATTTCTGATAGGATTAGACAGAAAGACGGGCAAAATATTATTCCGAATTCCAAAAATTCTCACTAACAGTAGAGAGCAGAATTTTTTTCGGAACTTTTAATTATTGACTGCACGGTTGGCGCGGAGGTTGGGCAACTGGCTGCCGCGCAACGTGTCGCGGATTCTATTCCCGCACGGAACAACTCTTTGTGTGATCCACAAATTGTTGTTCCGGGTCTGGGTGTGATGTGTATGTTGAATTGTATGTTTGTAAGCGCACCCATGACATAGGAGAAAATCCTAGTGTGAGGCGACGTTTAAAAAAAAGAATTATAATATGTATAGGAAGATAATTAATTACTAATACTATACACCAAATACCTAGAACGGATTAATTACCCAACAAACTAACCGGCAAATTAGCAGTAGCGGTTTATTACACAAATCTGTTTTAGTAGGCAAACCAATAGGCCGATTATTAATAGTATTATATAGGTATTCATATTTACGTGGGCACACCGGGCCTCTGTTTGACGATCGAATGACGCTATATTTTTACTAGAAATAGCTTGCCAATAAATTTTCAATGAAATGATTATATTTGATGCAGATGTTGACGATTTTTATATTTAGGAAAATTAGTCATAGAACAAAACTATTCCAGTTTTGGTACTGGGATTCTGGGATAACTACAGACTACATATATTTCGTACAATTTGTAGCTGACCATGTTGAACTAGTACAAAATGAAGATTCTGCCAATACAATCTACATTCTATCACAACAGAGCCCATTCCAAAATCGATTTAACTGTTTAGTAGATTTCAACTCGTAAGAGTAAATCTCATTCCCATTACCTACATAACGTACATTTGTTTTTTGCGTAAGATCTATATGACCCGACCAAATACGATGTCCTTCACTTCAATACAATCAAAGTCATTGATAAGTCGTGTTAAACTGACGCCATGTTAGAAGCTGATTCACTAATTAACATTCATAATTCGAAACCCTGTTAGATTTTGTGTCTAAGTTTATCACAGGAAATATTATGTAACATCATACATATCATGGTTACTACCCGAAAGCGTAGGCATATATGGGTACGTAAACATAGGAAATCGTAGCTTTAACTCCGTTCGGGTGGAATAGTGACTTCCTGCAGATTTTTGGTATAAAAACTCACCTATGTCCTTTCTCGAGTTCCAAACTCCGTCTGTACCAAATTTCACAGAAATCGGTTCAGTAGTTTAGGCGTACAGAGTTACATTTATAATATTAGTTTGGATCATGTTAAATGTCCCATCAGTACAAAATATAAATTAAGGAGATTAGTTTTATTGTTACAACAACAGCAAAGAGGAGACGGATTAAGCTGAGCAGTATGTAAATAACTTAGTGATTTCAGAGTTGCATTCAGCTAGGGTGCAATACGGTACTGCAACCTCGGCCTAAAGAGGAAGGAACGGAGGGTGCGGGGTTAGCCAGTAAGAGTCTGACACTCCCTCACGCCTCACCCTGTGCGAGAGAAGTCATTTGATGAAACAATGTAGCAATGAATTTATTTTTGCAAATAGGCCATAAAAACGGCACTTTTACACGTCAATATATATGTAAATGATATACGTTATATGTGAAAAACTAGATGAAGCCGGCATTATTTAATTAATCTGTGGATGATTTTCCGAACTCACACAATTCACGTGAAAAGTACCATGTTAATTTGTCACCATCCATTTATTTTCGTTTCATAAGAGCTGACTACGGCCAGTCCCGTAGTCAGCTTTAGCTTAGACATTCAATAACTCAGTTTTATAAACCTGAAACTTTTAAACTGGGACTGCTAACCCACACAAGGAAATGATAGTAAGTCCCATATACTTAAGCAGCGACAGCCTTCTCTGTCACAAGCTGTTGAGTAATTGTTTGACCCATGAAATTAAACAGAAGGCGAAAAACTTATTGATATATTAATCATCATAAAGCCATACTTCGGGACGAATGGGTAGGCTAGACCAGAGAGATAATGCTTCGTAGAAAGCCGGTGTGAAACTACTACAGGTTTGTGTTTCGCCGTGTGACTGAGTCCAAACCCTAATTCATGCCCAAAAGGCCGCTAACGTACGCGTAACTCCTATGATGTCGCGGGTGCCTATCTGCGTCGCCGACTGACTACCATCATGTAATGTGACTGGCCATTTGTCGTCCTATCACATAAAAAGAAGGTTTTATTATCCGTCGATATAGCTTCGTCGATTGCTGAAAAAAGCTGCTCAAGGATAAGCCGTTACTCCCATGCAGGTAGCTGACTTAGAATTTAAAGAAAACTGCTGCCTATCCCTTAGAGATAGAGAATGGTGTTAGTTTCAAGATCTTATTATGAAAGCATACTCGTTTATTATGCTATAATTATATTTATATAGAGGGCATATCACCAGACTCCCGTGTCAGTAGTACTAGTAATAGAAGTTATCAACGGTAAAATAATAATCGTATACACATCACTATAAATAAACATCAATTGACTTGCGTATGAAATGAAATACTAGGTACTTGAAAAATAGCTCGAGACATTAGTAAAATAAAAAACATTAATTGTCTAATTATGTACCACTACACATATTTATCAACGAATTTAGTGCAGGGAATTATTTAAATTCCAGTAAATGCAATTAGAATATTTACGTCAAGCGAAATATTTTGGCACTGTGTCAACAATGAAGGTAAAAGTTGCTCATTGAAACTAACACAACACGCCGTATTAAAAAACAACACACAAAAAACAAGACAAGTTTGATCTGATTTATAAAATCTTTTCCTCGAGCGAGTCTACACGTAAATCAGCACTTGAATGAACATAACACAATAACCAAAACATCGTCCTATCAAAATACAAATTTAAATACACGAGTAGTACAACTGAATTATTACATGTTTACACTACATACAGTAACATGACACTTAACATATTCACTCAAATATAGTCTTTATAAGAAAGCATTACAAACACTAACTTACTACGTCGACGTACACACAATCAAGACTCAAAATGGCATAAAAAGTTTGATTTACTTACCACTTTCGTTCTTCTCACATGGTTATCCGGTAGTCTAGGCACATCACCCCTGCTGAGGCTGTCCTCAAAGCTGTCATTAGGCATCGGGTTATTGTTCTCAATAGCCAATTTCTCCCAAAGCCAACTGTAGTCCTTGTGTAGGCTGTCTACAAAAGCTTCATAGGACCTGTTGCTACCATTGCGAATCAACGAGTCTAGTAGAAAGCGAGCTTGGTCGACGCGTGAAGTCTGCAAGAAACGTAAACAAACAAACGATCGGACAATTGATTTTAGTATTGTCAAGGTCACGACGCGACAGACGTCGTTCTTCTGCGAGAGATTTAAACCGACTGACTTAATTATTAATATCGATTTTTTAAAGCATTTTTTCTATTGAGACTCTTCCAACGGGTGTCTTCTGGCTTTCCCGAGAGCATTTTCCATTTTTAATTTACCTGATACATAATAATGAATAAAAAAAAACATTTTGGTGCAGTCATTCGCTATGTGCGTGGGCACCTATCATGATATTACAGATGTTGTTTTGTATAAATATAACATATGAAATAAATCGGTACCTTCGTAAGATTTTAGCAAAATAAGCAACATTACAAGAAATGTTATCTCTTTCACACTTATCCTCATGTATGCAAAGGTATTACACGAATAAAAATAGTATATCAAACTGACATTAAATAAATGAAGCTAAATAAGTCATGAGCTTATAAAATTTCACGAGAATAATTTCCCTTACCGAAAAAAAAAACAATTAAAGAAAATGCAATTTTTGATAAAAGAATAAGTATAAGTACTTATTCTACTCGTGTGACTTACTTTTAAAAAAGAAACATATATTTTCTGTAACAAAAATGTAGTAGTTACTTACAAGGCCGAGAATGAGATCGAACTCTTCAGCGGAAATAACAGACTTCGCGAACAGCTCGTCGTAGATGTACGTCACATCTAGATCATCGATGATGTCCTGCTGATACTTCTGCAGCAGCAGCCTTTTGTGGGTATCCATTTTTCCGGCTCACTACTCATCTAAAACAACACGCGAAATAAGCACTTATCATATGATACGTAAAGTTGACAATTATTCAACTAAACACACCTTAGATACAAAAGAGAAACAAATGAATGAATAAAATCAAAGACCGTATCTTTGTGTTATCTACTATAACACTAGCACACGAATGTAAATTAAGTTTTATACTGAGATACAACCAATGACTTAAGCATACGACCTTGTCAATAGACACCACCTACATAACAAGACAAGTAAACAGGTAAGTATATATTTAAAAAATTCGAGAATAATGTCGTTGACCGTACTATGATTGCACGATTGCCAAGGCCGGATGGAAAACTGTAGTACAAACGATTACATAAATTGAAAAACCAATGATGCGGAAAGCATGTACAAACAGGTGATTTAACGTGAATTTTCTTCAAATACTTCTTCCTGGGACCTTGGTTGGTGCAATACAGTTAAAATATGAACCGAACATAAAATAGTTCTGTGTATCGACCCAAGTTACAAAAATGCAACATGCAAGTTTACTTAGAAGAATGTGAAAACACGTACCAACTTGTACTTCAGTTTATTGTATTGCAACCTACGGACTCAAAGACCATAAAGGCAAACTATTGCCAACGGTAAAAAATACAACGTTGTAAATTTTTTGCCGTTGGCCCTCATGACTAATTAAATCTAGTGACGCATAGCGAGTTATCTCCAATAACGTTAAACAATTGTAATTTAAGCGTTTTAAACTTTTGTTTATGTTTGAATTAAATATCATAAAAAGCGATAGGTGAACAACCTAAGCTTATCTCTGACACCACATTTTCTTTAGCTAGATAGATTTATAATTTATATTAAAATTATTTATTGTTATTGAATTGTTCGATTAATTCATTGATACTTCGATACTTTTGTTGCAAATTACATAACTTGAATCGTTTTGTGTTTGGTCCAAAGATAATTGTATTTTTTTAATTTGTCACTTTGAGTTTTGCAATAATAAAACACTAATGCCGTTCGAAAATCAAATTTAAACTGGAACCACATGTATATCAACATTGCACAACTGACAATTGTCTTTCGGTTTCTAAAATCAGAACACAACCCACACAAGGGAAATTACATATTCAAGAGATATTTTCGGATGAGATATATTTCTTGAAGGAAAAATGAAAGTGCAGAAAGTTGTTTTCGTAAAACAAGTAAACAGGAAAACTTCTCACAAATTATGATTTTCACAAAATCTGTAAGTACCAGCAACAAAGTGTGAAATTAAAATAATAATCTATTAATAACGATGAATCACTGGACTATAAATGTCATTGACCGATAGTAAGCAGCCTACTGTGACATGTGTGTAATAAATATCAATCATATAAAATTTCAATCGGAATTTAAGTAGCCAAAACGGCTGATATTGGTAGGTAGATTTCTTCTCGATCATTTCTTCAACAAGTCTTTTACAAATCGTGGTATTTATTAACAACAACTTAGTCATACGCACTGTCTAACGGGATAACGGGTTTTTAATGCGCAGTTTAAACTATGCAATTTTGGCAGACAAATGCATTAATAGAATGATTTTCCTTAAACCAGTTTTTAAGTTTGTGTTTTATATATATGCGACTTGAAGGACCAAATAGTAGTTTTACTATAACTTTGGCTTTGATTCACCAATCCGATTTCACCGAATATTTGTTAGCCGTCAATTATCGAATAGTTTGACGTATTTTCTATATAAAATGTGTCAGTTAAGCTATCAGTAACTTATTCAGCGAATGGCGTAGGCCTTTTTAACAAAGGCGTTTAACTTTTACGCTTTAAATGCTAAACGTCATAGGTAAAATTTATTGTGTTGCTTATTAAGTCACAATCATTAGCTTATTGCATCATCTACTATCAGGGTCGGTGTCATGGTTTGAGTTTTTAAATATGGGTATTCATAATCGAAAGATTTGATCTGTTTGTTTGAAAGAAATAAAGATGAAAATGAGAGGTTTCGATGATTAATCGTACGTAAAGGTTTCTGTGGTCAGAAATGGGGATTCAATGCTCCGTCATAATATGTGCATTGTGAGAAAAAGCACGTCGCTATCATGCCCTTGTGAGCCCTTGTCTGGTTGCTATGACAGTTTTGTCATGTTGTGCGCATGAAGCAGTGAATCAAATCGTTATTCATTTACCTTCAATAAGTATTTTAGACACCGTGTTAACGCTAACGAAAAGTTTTAGCACAGTCTGCTGATTAACTACGTTTATGACATGGATTTTCGTCGATACTTTATGGTGACTTTTCAGTCTACATTTACTTTGGTTCTGGGCGGCTTTTCACATGCGACCCTTAATACAGTCGGGTGAAAAATCTCTTGTGCAGTATTGGACAGTTTTGACTATATAGACACTGGTCTTTTGGTGAAGTTTTATACTTTTTTACTAAAGGACCAACTAAATTCGTCAGTGTCTTGTGTAAAACAAATAACATAATACAGATTCCACAAACATTTTTCTTCTTTTATTGGTACCTAAGTGTCTACTGATTAATTGTTGACTGCCAGTGTTATAGCCTGTATGTTGACGATAGAAAAGTACGGTGATTTGTAGATTCGAAAACAACAGACGCGCCAGCCACACAACAAACTTTTTTAAATCGACAGTAAGGAGTTGGTTGGTCTGTCAACGTCTGTACTTTGGAAAAACCATTAAAATAATTAACCAAACATAATTATAGTCCTACTATGCCAAGGTCGCGTTATCTTCGTACTAGCCAGCCTCAAATTAGTGTCATTTGAACGGAAATTGGTCAAGTAGTGTGATAAGGAATACTTATTGACTATTGTACTATCTGTGATTCATTCTGTATTCCCTTAAGTAGGTAAATGGTGGCATTACGTGTGCCTACCTAACTACCTTATTGGGGAAAAAATGCGCGCCATCGTTTTCTTAGCAAAACCTTGAAGAAGCTCTTAAGTGATAGAGATATTCAATTTTATTAGATTTGTTTAAATGATTAGTTAGAAACTTTATTTATTAAATTAGATGAACATAGAAAACGAAAAGAAAACACATTATATAAAAGATAGAAAATCAATAGACAAAAAAAGAAACATATAAAACTTTATAAATTTGGAATAAAATATTAATAAAATTACAAAATGTTAATATAGGTACCAATTTAAATTGCAGTAGATACACATTAAACGATTCGTTTATATTAGTTATTATTGTTGTTTTTATAAATATATGTTTAAAAACTTTATATTAACTTACTTGTAATAAGTTCCAAAATGTGCACACATCAAGTAAATTAATTCAATTTATCTTTTAATGAAAATTTTAGCTTATTGTGTGGGATAGATTAATGTTGAAGCAATACTGATTGAATAACTTATGAAATATACATTATATAAAAACATTATTATTAATTGTGTTGTAACAATTTGTATCGAAGAATCTTTTTCTAGATGAGAAATAAACTGCAATGTTGTGTCAACACAAAATTGGAGGTAAATATTTTGAAATAAAACCAATTATACAAAACCAATTATTGGTTTTGTTTAAATTTTATAATTGAAACAAAACCCTTACATAAGACTGTAAGGTATATTTTTGTTTGCTTTTGAATAAAAACAAAATTTTATGTACTCAATCTGCAAAACTAAGATAGCTTTCTACAAGATTATAAGTGTGCACATACAATTATAATCAACTACCTAATACAATTTTTTGTATGGATGCCTAAAAGGTACTTTTTGTAGGAGCTTATTGATATTCTAATATAATTTTTTATTGATTTATTAAACATGTTCCAGATAAATTTCATACAAATCCATTCCGTAGTTTTTATGTGAAAGAGGAATAACATCCATTCATACCAACAAACTTTTGCATTTATTATATAATCAGGACATTAAAAAACCTTTAAAATACTAAGTATCAAACAAATGACAGAAATAAAAAATAGCTTATTTTTTATCCTAGTGGCAGGTGAAGCTGCAGGTAATGGTTAAAAAATATTATTAGTTATCTAAAGGGGTGACCGGGTTGTTACGAAATTGAGTATAGAGGTACTTAACTATGAAAAATGTTATGGTTTAATATGCTGGTTACTGTTTACTTCATGAAAGTATAATTCTAAAGGAAATAACATCTAGATGGAGTTCTGGCAACACTGTGACTAGTCATACCAATTTTTCATTCATTATTTTTCAACTATACATATAATATGTACCTATGTATTTGGTCATTATCTTTTGTATTGTAAAAATGAAAACGTCTTAAAAATTTGCTCTTTGACTTGGCAGTATTTTGGTTGTGTAATTATGAAACAATGCATTGAAACTAATTTTGCTTTTATTATGTTATGTCTAATACTAATTAGTTCTGGTTTTCTGTTCACTAATGATGGTCATTTTCATTTATTTTCTATTACATACATTTATTTACTACATACATACATTTATTTTTATTTTTATCTTTCAAGAATTAATGTTCTTAACAAGGATGTGAATTTACTTAAAACCTAAACTTCTACAATCTCTTTATACTTGTTTTCTTTATTTGTATGAGTATGAATTTGCACAAGAACATTGATTATAAATCTGTTTTATATATATTTTTAACTGTTTCAAGTAGTTTTCATGAAACATTTCTTCAACAACTTTTATGTTACATTAGACATTTAATGAGGAAAAATAAAATTATTTATAGCTTCTAAACATTTTGTAGAACTGGAAATGTATTCTATTCTAATCACTAATGTCAATTGAATTCTTCTAAAACACATCTTGTTTGACCTATGTCTAGAGGAAAGGTTATTTTGATTGAGAAAGGATAAAAATAGATATAAGCCACAGCTGGCTTACTGTAACAAAGACGAAACACTTTAAGACCATAATAATCTGTATTGAGAGAGGGACGAAGCTCTTTCTCTCTCTTTTTCAGACATGGAATTTTTTTAAAACAATAATGGAATTTTGCAGTAATGAGTTTTTTATTTTCGAGAAGCAATACATTTTAGGTAAGTACAAAACTTGTATACCTAGTTAATGTATTATGGCAATATAGTTGATGCAGTAAGTTGAAACTTAGTGTATGAAAGATTGATTGGATAATTCTTACAGGAACAGCAATATCAATGGAAAGTTCGGGAATATGTTATGGGTTTTACAATCAGATAGTTTCCACTGTTACAAAAAGTATTTCAATGCTTGTAAACCTGTTGACTGTTTTACGATATACTTAATATTACTATATTTTTAGTGAATTCAAAAGAAATACATTTGTTATTTGTTTTAATAGAATGTGATCTCATTTATAAGAGTTTCATACAAATTTGACAAAATTCATAAAATATTTTGAACATTTGAAAACAACCCTATTGTTTCCTCTATTTTAACACTAAGATAAAGTGATGCAAGTAAAATTTCTTTTTATTTCAAGTATATTACGCAATACAAAATAGTATGGCAATCATTTGGATTTTGAAGGATTAAAATCTAAATATAAATAACGAATGCAATGATGAAATACATATTTAGTTTTAGTTTCACAATATTTTTGTTAGTTTAATGACACATATTTTTATGTTTCTGCCATAAAAGATAGGTGTTAGTTAAGCTAGTAGCAGCTTCTCTATTCTTGACAGAAATAGTGTGTTTACATAATATTTGCTGCATTGGTCTCATGTTTGTTTCACATCATGTTTCCAGCCCATAAGGGTTTCCCAGTATTAGTTTCTATGCTTGTCAGAGGCGGCTCTGGGATTCCAATACTTGGGTATTTGTTAGCTCTGCATTACACAGTTTATAGTAAATAGATTTTATTTTTGTATCAATTTATAAAGAGCAGATTCTTGTAAGGCTTTTTATACCTGGTCGACAATGTTTGATACTCTTTCATATTAAATCTACTGAACAGATTTAAACATGGATTGGCATGAAGATAGAATAATAGTTTGTAATAACACGTTCAGATAAAGCAGGGGAAATTGTAGGCAAAGGGTATTGATAAAGTAATTTCACTATTAGTGTAGGGATATAGCATTGGAGAGGCATGCACCTGCTTCCCGCTAGTGATTCTCACATATAAGGGTTCTAGTTGAACTGGCAAGTATCAATGCATTTTTTTTGGAGTTATATAGATCTATTTTTAAAGATTGTAAAGACATTCTTGTCTTTAACAAAACATTGTGAGAAAACCAAGACTTACAGTTTGTAATCATATATCTGAAACCACCAATCTATCTTGAGTTAGAGTACTTAGAGAATAATATCATACCTTCTCTGAGTGAGAAGGGTTTGCTTAGCTATGTGATGAACTTCGTGTAAAACAAAAAAGTTCATTTTACAAAACATTATATGAAGTAATGTGCAACAATATTGTCATGCAACATATTTGCAACAATCAGTCACTTATGTGGTCATTCAACTGTGATTAAAAGTTAGGATCATGTTAGGATTTGCTGTCGAATAACTACTCAATTAATCTATCACAAGATCCCAGATAAATAACCTTATTTAATTAATTATGAAACGCTTTTATATGATTATGATGATATGATTTAATATAATTTAAAAAGTTAAGTTGCAATTTTGATACAAGCATAAACTGTAATGTTTTGAAAAAAAAATTGTTTCACTAAAGCTTTAGTTCAATTTACTTGTTTACTTTCATTCCATAATAAAATTAAAATCGATGTAATTGCCGTAATTATTACAATGTTTAATATTTCATAGTTCATATAAACATACGAAATAGAAACGATGTTCTCGTAAGTACTCCTAAAAAATAATTTGTAATATCACAAAAAAACCGTATAAAAGTTTATATTGAAAGTTTGTACTTACTCCCTTAGTCGCAAGCTAATCCATATTTCAACGCAGGTTTAATTATTCATTTATTATTTTGTAGTATAAAAATCACAGCACAATTCAAACTTGTTGGGCACTACGTTCAAAACAAAGCAAACAAAGTGAATGCAACACAACTGCAATGGCTCACGATTTACACTTGTCAAACTCAAAATGTATTTAGAGATACATGTTTGACTAAAAAATTAAGCACAACTTAAGCATATCGAAAATAAGTTTACAAGTCAATTTGTGCAACAGACAAGGATAGCAATGCTAAAAATGTAACCACGCCACCTGCCAGTCTGCCTGCCACCGTCATTTGTCAAACTACAAAACTATGCATTTCTAGGCTGTGTTACCATACCAATTATTAAAATACACACATATTTTCGCTTATAAATTAATTATCGTATCTATTTTGGATAGTGTTAAAGCAGCAGTCTGTTACAATAAAATTTCTTGTTACACAAATATTTAGTGTCATAGGATATTTAGCTATTAAGATCTTTTAAATGTTGGTAACACTGTGATTACAAGTACCAAATCATTAAATATAAGTTATATCAAAATAATTTACTAACATCCAGTTTAATAATTATTTGTTACTACTTATTATTTCAAATTGTTTCAAATGTGAAGTATACGTTTAGTACCTACCTGAATATTGTTTAGGTGCGCCATCTACCAGATTAGTGCGTAACTACAACCGTGCTTCACATTCACACAACAAGGTTGTAGTTGCAATGCATGGTAGTACGTTGTTGTTTAATTTGTCATATTATACGATGATGTCGTTATTCTAAAAAAGTGAATTAAAAAGCAAAAAAATTTACTTTGTACAAAGTAATACGTATTTCCATTTAGTTAAATAAAAATAATATTAAATAACTATTTTATAATTTTGAAGTCGGTGTCAATTAAAACAATATCTCTGTGTGTAGAGAAGCGATATTACATAATTGTTAGTTTGATGACTAGCCATAAATATATTTTTCTAATATTGTTATTTTGTAGGTAACTGCTTTAATTAATATGGGTACTTATTCAAATATGATTGTATGTACTTAGTATTTTGTTACTTACTTACCTACTATCTAAGTAAGATTGTTGTAGCATTTACTCTGTTTTAATCGTTGAAGAGTGCCCTCGACCATCTCTTATCTCCACCATTAGGTCTACCTCAGACCTTAATAAAATGGGAGTGCTTTAAAATACGTAATGAAAAAACTTACAAACGTTGTACGAGTTGACCCTAGAATTTTTGAAAATTCCCTACGATTCTTCTGGTCAGCCATCATCAGACCACCTTAGAAATATCTGCTTTTGAATAAAACAATCATTAAAATCGGTTCATAAACAATGAAGTTACCCGGGAACAAATTATAAGTATTATAAGTTCGAATTGAGAATCCTGCTCTTTTTGGAAGTCGGTTAAAGATGTATCATTTGAGTGCAACGAGTAAGTACTTTAAAATAGGGGAAGTTGAGTAGGTAGGTACGTTCTAAGTGGTAATTTTTTTTGGTATCGATCGACAAAGTATGATTTCCCGATGGTAAGCAATCGGCGCCGACAATGGATATCCGCAACACCAAAGAAGTTACGGTTGCGTTGCCGGCTTTTTGGGGATTAGGGTTTCGGATATTTAAAGATTGGGAAGGGATGAGAGGAAGAATTGGGCCTCCGGTACCTAACCTCACTCACACGGCGAAACAACGCTGCGATTGTTTCACGCCGTTTTTTTGTGAGGCCGTGGTATCACACAGGTCGAGCCGGCGTGACGAAGCATGGCTCTCTCACACCTATTCAATTTACTCGTTCTTATTTAATTCACAGTAAACTAGATTGTACGTTGTGACAATGTAAAAAAGTTTTATGGATGTTTCGAAAATCTTATCTAGATTAGCATTGCTGCGACCTAAAGCTTAAACAAACAAATTAATTTCGGTAAGTTTTAAGTTTAATATTAAAATCTCATAAACGCACACACCTCCTTAAAATATATCACATAACTTATTTGCGAAAGTGATACAAATAAATTCTTACAATATCACGTGCATCCAGGTAGGTAGGGCAGATGTACGGTACGACAAAAGCTTTTAGCAATGTCTGTAAACAAACCATTCTTTTGAGGTCGGATCATGGCCGCCCATGAATGGCGTTGTGGCGGGCCTAACTTTTAATAAGATTTATTGTAACCGATCTTGTTTTGACAATCACAATAGTGTGATTCGTGGCGGTAAACGGACATCTTTGTGTGGTCTTAAGGTTTATTGTAAGAGGCTTTAGTGAAGTCAAAACTTTTACACCTGGTTAGTAAAAAAAGTGAAATTATTAAGTAAGTAACATTTTCTTGGCATTGGCGCTTAGTGAACTCTTTACACAAAGCATTGTCTTGTAAAGAAGAATTAAATATTAAGAGTCTTGGTTTGGTTATAAAATAGGTAGATTCATTACTTAATTGCAAGGGATTGTTACAATTTTCTTGCCCTGAATATCGTTCTTCCTCTACCGTTCTTTACTTCGTCGTCCGTTCACACGCGGTAACCAAATTTTGGATTTGCTGAACTTAAAATAAAGAAAAATTCGGTAGGCAAATTGTCAATTCTTGTCTCATCAATTTATGATTTCTAAAATATTTGGCATGACAGCTACTCCAAACTGAATAGAAATAAATCTAGCGATTACCAGTCCAGATTTACCAATCTTAGAAGATCCATTTGAACGACTTTACAACTTACGAGTTGCCTCAACAACTCACAAAATGTTCCATAAAAACTGATAGCGTTAAAACTCGGCTGAGTTATGGTAATGGGTCCTTAGATACTTTCACAGGTTCCTTCACTCCCTATCCATGCCATAGGATCTCTTTAATCTTAACGACACATAACATAAAGATGTCTAACTCCACATCACTAAAAGGCAATTGTTGTTAAATTTAATGACATTTAAAATAAAATAGTTTGGCCCACGATAATAATCGATGGATAATCTAGGTGTTAGCTCTTGTTAGCGTTGCAGAGATTAATTGCAACAACATTTTACAATGTGATATTTCTGTCAAGAAAACGATGCATATGAAAATTTGCCTCTATCTGGTATTGATTAAATCGGATTTAGTGCGTAGATAAACAATTACATAAATAAAGCTCCAAGGAAGGCCTTAACGAATCCACAGAAGATAAAAAAGTAGCTTGCCTTATTACAGAGACAATCTAAGTCGAAAATTATACACGTATTCTTGTTATGTTATGTAAAACTGGACAGATCCATAATTCTAGCCCATGAATGTCATCATATCATTGTCGTCCTGCACTAACAATCTCAACACGTATAAATTAAACACATGTTATATGTTAATGAGCCAATTAAAGTTAATTTCAAGAATGAGAGGTAATTACAGGAATCATCTAATTATGTTTGAATTTATAGTTGACAGTATAATTTCCGCTATTCGTCGTTTTTGTTGTAATAGGTCGTTAGCTTTTTAGTTATTTGTAATAAAGTAAAATTCAAGTCAATAGATGATTGCCGAAAGGAACACAGGAATTCGATATCTTCGCCACGTTCGAGGTCGTTCTCGAATGAGTTCGTTACGTATCTACAATTTTAGGTTACATAAGTCCATACCATATTTCTAGCATTTTATTGTGAGGATAATAATTTCGAAAGGATTTCCAATGAACATGCAGGTTAGCCAAGGAAGTGTTGTGAATCGTGATGTAAGTATTTACTAATTCAAAATTAGTAAGTTCTATTTATTTAATATTTCTGAACACCTTTAACCTTATGTAAGTAGTAGGAAGAGATATAACATCATCAGAAATCTGGATCGTGCACACATATATTAAAACCTCCACCTACATGCTATTGAACCTTTTACGAAAGGGATAACACCATTAGATAGGTAAGTACCAACATGCTTTTCCAACATCTAAAAGAAATTACATTAAACTAATGGACATAAAAATAGTCGATTTCGGAGCAAATGTTACTATCGTATTGAACTTTGGTGTTTGTGAATGCTTACACCGAATCGAGTTCTTTTGCGAACAATTTCTTTGATACAATAGAATGCTATGAAGTCTTTTAGCGTAGGTTGTAGTTGTAGTTATATTTTTTTTTAAAAGTAACATTAGTAAAAATGGAAAAAGGTTGTAGCAGTTCCGAATAGCTACCGTATTATGTACCTACATATGTAATAAATTCATATCTAAATTGCTATTAATAAAGTGGTAGGTAAGTGGGTAATTAGATTCTTGTCTTGAAAAGCCATTATCTGTTGTTTCTACTAGGTGTTTATTTCTTCTCCAACTATACTGATAGCTTAAGAACTCTATTTTCCAGGTGATTATAAAACAATTAGTTAATGAGTCCAAAACATCACTTGTGGAGTAATCACCCATCCCAGTCATCACGATAAGGCATCATTTGTTCGGGAATTCGACATTAGCCTTATAAGGTGAGTCGTACAAAACTCGGACCAATAAATTGGCTTCATAAATATTGCTAATACAACAACATGTCGGTGTGACAACAATGGTAAGGTTGAAGTCAACATCACAGTTCGATAGTCCGCGCACGTCCGTGATTGGTCAGACGCAAAGCGAATCTCGAATGAATTACGGGAATTGTTTACAACGATACACGCCGATTTGGTCAAGATTTTCGACAAAAACTTGAAGAATTAAGAGAGCGCCTGTTGTTATTTAAATAGCAAATTCTCAGATCGGCTCTTTCAACGCCGCTTTTGAAATGCGCGAAGCATGGCAAAACGGACGGTGATTATGCAGTTTTTAGTACATGATATCCTGTATTTAACATTTATTATGTAGATGTTAACATTTGTGAAATTGTTTTGCATTTAAACCATACATTTTAACTAAGCAAAGTAACATGTAATTTGCTAAGAAAATATCCCATAAACATACAATCAAAACGTTGAATATATCGGTGGGTGTTCCTAACGTTATTTATGACATAGCATGGTTTTATTTCATTGCCGTAATTTATCATTTCGTATTGATGTCATTGTATACCCGCCATTAACTGGGCTTAAACGATTTAATTTTCGACTTTCCCTCAAAACATTGATGGCACCTAATCACGGCCCACGGACAAGATAAT